AGTCTTTTCAGATAAAGTCTCTTTCATTTAAGTATGACTTTGTCTTTCACAAGGTAAAACAAAAGCAAATATTGTAAGGAAGATGAAGACTAAATTAAACTCCAGGAAAGAACCTATCCGATAAAATCATAGCATAGACATGAAACAAATTTGAAATGTTGCTATGGTCTGACTATTTGTGTATCCCCAAAATTCATATGTTAAAATGTTACCTCCTAAGGTAATGGCCTTTTAGCAGGCGAGGCCTTTGGGAGGTGATTAGGTCATGAAAACAGTCCTCATGAATGAGATTAGTGCCTTTATAGAAAAGGCTGGTGGGGGGGGGGGAAGGTGGGGAAGGTGGGGGGTGAAGAAGCCCCAGGGAGACTCTTGTCCCTTCTGCCACATAAGGTTACAGTGAAAAGACAGACATCTATGATCCAGGGCATTTTCACCAGACACTAAATCTGCTGGTACCTTGATTCTGGACTTCCTCGCCTCCAGAACTGTGAGAAATGAATTTCTGTTGTTTATAAGTCACACAGTTTGTATATTTTTTAAATAGCAGCCCAAAGGATCTCAGACAAATGTGGTATGATTTTCAGCAATTGGTGTAAGTATATCAGTAGAAACCTCTCAAACTGAAATGCAAAGAAAAAAAGAATGGGGGTGGGGGTAGACAGAACAAGATATCCAAAGACTGTGGGAAAACTTCAAAATATGTAACACCTGCACCATTGGAATACCAGAAAGAGAAAGAGAAATAAGCAAAGAAACAAAGAAACAAGACAAAAGAACAAACAAAAACAAAAACCCACTTTAATTAATAATGGTAGAAACATTTCCAAAATTAATGACAGACAGCAAATCACAGATCCAGGAAACTCAGAGAACACGAAGCAGGATAAATGCCCCCAAATCTACACCTAAACATATTATGTTCAAAGTGGAGAAAACTAAAGACAAAGAGAAAATCTTGAAAGAAGCCAGAAAATCTTAGGAAAAAAATCTTATCTATAGAGGAACAAAGATAATGAATTCTAATATATCAGACTTCTTGCCAGAAATCATGCAAGCAAGAGGAGAGTGGACTGAAATATTTGAAGTGTTGAAATATTTCGACAGTTTAAGCCTAGAATGCTAAATCCAGTATTCTCTGTCAGAAATAAAGGAGAAATAAAGACTTTCTCAGACAGACAAAACTGAGACACTTCATTACCAGCAGCCCTACCCTTCAAGAAATGTAAAAAGGCATTCTTCAGAGAGAAGGAAAATCACACAGGTCTACATCAATAAAGAAAGGGTGTCAGAGAAGGAATAAATAATGGTAAAATAACGCCTTTTATTTTCTCACTCTTAGTTGATCAAAGGAGTAATAATAACAACCATGTATTGGGTGATTATAGCACACAGATAAATGAATGACAGCCATGGTATCAGGTACAGAATGGGGAAATTGGAAATACCCTGTTATGAGTTTCCTGTACGTCCCATGAAGTTCTGTTGTGTTACTTAAGGGTGGGCTTAGCCTAGCTGTAAATGTGCACTGCAGACTCTTGAGCAACCACTGATGTGTGTGTGGTGTGGCTTCGCTTTTGTTGCCCAGGCTGGAGTACAGTGGTGCAATCATAGTTCACTGTGGCCTTGAATTCCTGGACTCAAGGGATAAACCATTTTTTAAAGAGAAAAGGGGTGCTAATATTCTCCCCTTACAAAGTGAGGGATCTAAGAGTCATGCATTCTGTCAGCACAACTAAGTTACACAGACAGAAACAGGAGTCAGAGGAGGCAATTAGCTCAAGTTGTTTCGGGGTAGAAGTGCATGTGAGTAAGACTTCCAGCTAAGTAAAGTGGCTTGAACACACATACCTGGTTCTGTTACCACTCAAAACCCTTCTAAAATGACAGAAAAGGGAGTTTTAAAAAGGTATAAAACAGTGGTTCTTGAGGTAGGGTACAAGGGTCCAGCAGCGTCAGCATCACCTGAGCCCTTGTTACAAATGCACATTCCCAGGCTCACTGAATCAGAACCTTTGGGGGAGGAACCCAACAATCTGAGTTTTAATGAGCCCTGGCAGTGATTCTGGTGCTTGGAGTTTGGGGCTGCTGGCATCAACTCCTAAGGACAAGGATTATGTGGAAGAAGAGAACAGCTGCTGGAGAATCTATGGATAATGGGAATAGACGTATCAGAATCCAAGAAATCACTTCCTAAAACAAACAGAGGGAATGTGGGAGAGAGAAAATCCAATATACCCTGCAAATACACTCAGAGGTCCTGGAACTGGTGATAGCTATATCTAGAAGTGAAGCTAAAGAGGGAGTTAAAAATAGGATTGATTAAAAGACTGTCTGAGAAGCATGTAAACCCCAGACCCCTTGCCAGACTTCAAGTGCCCGGGTGCCTGTCCCTCCCCACCCAAGTGGAAGACCTGCAGACGGCGTTTCTGAGCAGGAGGGCATCTGTCCTAGTCCAAGGTAGGGAGGGTTCTTAATGAAAAGGGGAGGATTAATAAAAAGTGTATACACTGACTCTCAGTTTCCTATGGCTTTCTAACAAAATAGTACGTATCTGGTGGCTTAAAGCAACACACATTGATTCTCCAATAGTTCTGGACGCCAGAATCTAAAATGAGTGCACTCTCCCTGGAAATTCTAGGGGAGAATCTGTTCTTTGCCTCTTTCATTTTCTGGGGGCAGCCGGCAGTCCCTGGCTTGTGGTCACATCACTCTACTCTTTGCTTCCCTGGTCACATGGTCTTCATCTGTCTGTGTCGAATCTCCCTCTGCCTCCCTAAGGACACCTGTGATGGCATTGAGGGCTTATCCAAATAATCCAGGCTCATCTTCCCTTCTCCAGGTACCTAGCTTAGTCACATGGATAAAGGTAATGTTCACAGATTCCAGGAATCAGTACCTGGATATCTTTGGGAAGCATGATTCAGTTTACCACAGTGACTGGTGAAACATCCAGCTTTCTGTGTCCAGTGAGCTCCCAAAGTGTCAACAACAGGAGACCAAAGAGTCTCCTCTCATTGGGTTGCCCAATTAGCAAACCAGATAAACAAATCAACACACTAAATCTACTGGGGTACATAACTGAATTAGAATTTCAGATAAACAACAAAATTTTTAGTATAAGTATATCCCAAATATTGCATGAGACATACTTATATTTAAAAATTATTATCTATCTGAAGTCCTAATTTAACTGAGCATCCTGTATTTTATCTGGCAACTCTATTCTCTCATAAATCTGGTAAGGCCAAACAAAAAGTTTTAAAGATACTGACATTGGGGGCCCCTCAAGAAAAACTCAAGCCAGATTACCCTACACGTTCAGACCAAAGTCAACAAACTCCACCTACCTGTATAGAACTTCTAATCTACAACTCAGTACCCTGTCCCCCACTCTTAGTATGGACATATTTTTAAAGAAGATATCCAACATGAATAGCAGTTTTTAAAAGCAACACAGAGGAGAGATTTATCTGGTAAAGAAAACTTTTTTTAAAAGCCTCTTAATATCTTCAGAGAAATGATATAGTGCATCCATGAAACAAGAATAGGATGTTATAAAAAAGGAACACATACAGAACAAAACTGAGCTCTAGTACTTAGAAATGTAAGTATGGTAGCAGAAACAAAAATCTCAAAGGACTGGGAGCTAAAAATTGAGGAACACTCCCAGAAGGTGGAACAAAAAGAAAAAGAGAAAGGAGAAAGAAAGATTTAAAATATGTAAGAGAACAGTTCAGGCAGTTCAGTATTCAATAACAACCGGAGTTTCAGAAGAATAGAACGGGGGAGGAATTCATTAATAAAATAAGTCAAGAAACTGTCTAAGGATTGAAGAACATGAAAAGGGCAATCTTCAATAAGATGAAGCTGATACATTAGCTGGTGTGTCTCAATGCACTGGAAAGAGATTAAGTTGGGGATTTAACTAGTAAGAGAGTAAGTACATAGAAAGCTAAACGAACAGAAGAAATAGGATAATTTGACTTCAGGGAAAAGTGCTATTTAGAAAAGAAAAGTGATGAGCTAGTCACAGCAATGTAGATCCAGAATGTGGAGTGAACCGAAACTGATGCAGCAGCACAACAGGCATGCGGCGCGCGGAGGTGAATTTTCGTGTGGGGTAATGGAGGCCGAGGGGGTGAGACGGTTGGTGGCATGGGATGGGTGGAAAAGAGTTAAACCCACATTTTCCTGGTAGTAAGTCAATAGAAACTGCCTAAAAGTGAAAAATTAAGAAGTAGCGACATATGCCTGTCACTTAAAGTAGGGACACTCACTATCAAAAGACATCAGTCAGAAGTGTTGGAAGCTGTTGACTCTGGGTAGGTAAACATGGGCCGAATCAGAGCCAATGGACTGCTGGTTTTAGTAACAAGCCTGATAGAACGATATGACTCCTGCCAAAGTGTCTGAATAACGTGGATAAAATGAAAACTCATGTTGGCCAGGCGCGGTGGCTCACGCCTATAATCCCAGCACTTTGGGAGGCCAAGCTGAGTGGATCACTTGAGGTCAGGAGTTTGAGACCAGCCTGGCCAACAAGGTGAAACCACATCTCTACTAAAAATACAAAAATTGGCTGGGCATGGTGGCAGGTGCCTGCAATCCCAGCTACTTGGGAGCCTGAGGCAGGAGAATCACTTGAACCCAGGAGGCAGAGGTTGCAGTGAGCCAAGATTGCACCACTGCACTCTAGCCTGGGTGACAAAGTGAGACTTCATCTCAAAAAAAAAAAAAAAAAAAGAAAGTCCCCACTAATATTAAGAAACGGTGGCACTGGTACTAAGTCACATCAGGAAAAGTTATGCATTTGTTAGAGGGCTTTCTCTCATTGCTCGGGGTGGATGCAAACCCGTTCTTAGGTAGCCCAGCCAACAGGAGGACACGGGATATTTTCATCTCAGAAGGCTGTTTGGGTGGGTACACAGAAGAAACAAAGGGAACTCTCCAGCATGGTTTTCAGGGCTGCAACAAACATATTTAAATTAGTCAAAAAAGACCTGTCTAGCAGATGGGTCAGCTCCTCTTCTGTAAGAGAACAGCCACATTCTTCCAGCACTTTCTGCATCTTGCATATGGATATGTAGTTGGTTTTGGATTTATCGATTTTGGTGAGTGCTTTGCTGACATCTTGGTAATGGTCCATAAGCTTATCCCTGAAAGAGAGTACGTTGGAGATATGCCGTAAAAGCAGCAAAACAAAGAACTCCTCGAAAGCAAACATGTCATGATTATTCTCATGCAATGAGCTGATGGCTCATCTAATAACGAATTCTGAAGATGTTTTCCAGCCTCAGTATAACACTGACATTAAAGGATATCCCAGAAAAACTCTAACTCTGTATCATCATCATGATGATGATGATTTTGTTATTACCGTCATTAGAGAAATGACGACTTTGTCTTTTTACTAGAATTGGTACTTTACAAACGGAACCAAGAATTGAAAAAGCCAGTGACATTACATATAGACAGGTGAAATACACATTCCTTCTCCATCAACACTAGTTGAGCACCTGTGATGTGCCAGGTGCTGCTGTAGGTGCTGGGACACATTTAGCGAAAGAAAGAGGCATCCCTAGAAGGATTTCCATTCCAGTAGTGGGGAGACAGACGGTAACGGAAGATAGAGGTACACTGCATGGTGGGACAGTATGTTTGTAGGCAAAAAACCAAAAAAGACAGTAGGTTTGTAGGTTTACAGTCACTTTGGCTGTAGGCTCTTTTTTTTTTTTTTGAGCAAAGACCAGGATGCCAAAGAGTCAGCCGGGGACTGGAGAGCAGCCAGTGCCAAGGCCCTGAGGAGGAGTGGCGGAGGGCAGCGAGTGAAGAGCGTGGACAGGGACAGGGCCTTGTCGGTGCTGGGGCAAGGGAGCGCCAGAGACCCCTGTTTTTTGTTTTTTAACCAGGCATTTTCATTGTTAAAAACCAGCCACCATGCAGGGTGCAGCAATGGGCCAATCAAAGGCCACGCTGCCATCTTGCTCACGTGGCCTCTCAGCCCTGCAAGGTGGTGTCATCACCCCGACTTTCTAGACCAGGACCAGGACAGCGAGGGAGGCTCAGGCAGAATCGGGACAAGCCTGGGCCTTTCACGCACAGCGAGGGAGACAGCACAGCATCTGTCTGTTGCTCCCAGTTTCGGGGCTGATTTTCTTACAGGATGTGTGCAAGTCTCTGTGATTCAGTGACGCTGAATTTTCAGTTTGGGAAAATTCTCTCCTGACTTGAAATAATTATTGTTAAGGAACTCGGTAAGTGCAGAAATCTTTAAGAAGGAACAGTCTTGCACTTGATCTATGGTGGACTAGCTGTAAATTTGGTCATTTCACCCAGGTCCCTGAAAAACTCTTCCTTACAAACTGAGTAATATGCTTCTCTGATGGGCTCAGGCTTGATCTTGGCTTTGGGGTTATTCCCCAGGGGAAAGAATGTGCTATACAGTCTAGAAACCAAATCTTTGGTGGTGATTGTCTACGTCTATGTCTTCATGGGAGAGGATGCCTAGAAAAAATAACCCACAGGAACAGAAACGTCAGGACTCTGGGAGAGATGAGATTCGGTGGGAATGTTCAGGGAGGTGGAAGACGGAGGCCTTTATTTTGAAGATACCTGGGTGATCTACTCCCTTGCCTTGCTGGCCCCTCAGCACCTAAAACAGATGAATAGCAGGAACTGCTCTATGCGTGTATAGCAACAGTGGCAGCATTTTGGATTCCCCTACAGGTGTGCATTCAATTCAGCCCCATGTTGCAGAATGATTAGTCATCATCACAACTATTATATTCCACTTAATCCTTCAAAATGAAAGCAAATGAAAGTAGAAAAAAAAAATCCAAACTTTTTTTTTTTTTTTGAGATACATATTTTTAGAAAATTGAAGCACTCAGCGTTTCTTGGACTGGTTTCTAGGCAGTAATTATTTCCCTTGCAGAGTAAATATGTGCACAGGGTAAATGAGGGTTTAGAGCATAGATCGCAGCACACTGCCAAACAGAAACGATGTCAGCCGACACTCAGCGACAAGGTGGCACTGGGTCTGTGTCCAGTTCCTGGTCTGGGTAACAAGACGGAGGCCAGAGGGGGCACTGTTATGGCCAATGGGACGGCCGCAGAGCCCCTCACACACATGGTCTCCCCCCTCGGGTGCTGCCGAAAGACTGCACACCTCTCAATTTGCATTGTAGAATGAGCCTGTGTTATGTGGCTCATTTACTGTTGCTATTCTGATTCTGAATCTTCAACTCAGACTTATCAAAAAGAGCAAGGCATGGAAAACAAATGCAAAAAGGAAAAAGATTTTTCTTAATCTTTAAAATGGATTTAGGGCACTCCAAACACAATGAATTCCCTTAGATTTAAAAGGCAAATACAAAATTGTGGTCACTTTAATGGAACATGACTTACATCTGTCAATCTGATCACAGTGTCTGTATAGATGAGGAGGTTAAAAAACATCCTGGAAACACTGACTCTTCATTGGAAAGAGCCACTGACAGTAAAATCTAAAAACACAACACCCTGAAGGACAAGGTCACTTGGAAATTTTTACAAGCCGACGTTCTCAAGGAAACAAATCGGTCATACATTTGTCTTCTTTACTAAGAGAGTAGGAGTGTGGCCGGGAGGAGCGGGTGAGAGTGATGATCTGAAATGCACTGTCTTGCAGCCTGCAGTGCTTTAGCTGCACGCCCATGCTCCGTGTGGAACGGAGGCAGAGAAAGAGCGTGCGGGGAGTGCCCAGGACGCACGGTTTCTCTCCTAGAGCCTCATTACTCACAAGTGGCAGGAAAGACGAGAAGAGAAGACATGAGTGGGTAATGAGGCCACCCCTGTCTAGTAAAGATAAATCCCACTTTTTCATTAGCTTTACAGCACATTTGATTTATACCAATCTTGTTCGTATTTTACTTTGAATTTCACAAATGCAATTCCCTGCTTTCAGTCTTCATAACTCAGTAACTTGGATATAATTCAGAGGTGTGTTCAAACTGCTCTGAAACCCTGTTTAGCTATTACATTTCATCCCTGTGTCCTTGGCATTCTCAGTTCCTTTCGAGATTCATTCATTCATTCAGGTGCTGTGGGAAGTGGTGAACAGAGAGTGAATTTTCCCTTTTGAAATGACAGACAGGAGACAGACTCAAAAACAGGTAAGAGCAAGATGGAGCTAAGGCAGAGCTATAGAGCAGAAGGTGAGAGGCACATGTATAGGGAGTGTGGACAGGAGACCAAGGATTGAGATTGTGCCAAGAAAATCTGTTTCACTGCTGTAGTCACGTTGTCGCAGCCCAATTTTTTTCTCTGTTATAAATGTTAAAAATATGACATGAGTAACTAGTTTTAAAATTTGAAAGTAGACAAAGAGTTGCTGGATAGATTAAAAAACAGACCAAGCTATATGCTGCCTACAAGAAACTTATTTCACCTATAAAGACACCTACAGACCAAAAGTAAAGAAATGGAAAAAGATATTCACGCAAATGGAAACCAAAGAAGAGCAGGAGTAGCTACGCTTATATCAGATAAAATAGACTTTAAGTAAAAAACTAAAAAGACATGAAGGTCATTTTAATATAACGGGATCAACTCAGCAAGAGGATATAACAATAGCAAATATATGTTCACCCAACACTAGAGCACCCAAATAGATAAAGCAAATATTAATATATCTAAAAGGAGAGCTAGATTACAATACAATAATAGTAGTGGACATCAACACTCCACTTTCAGCAACGGGCAGCTCATCCGGGCAGAAAGTCAACAAAGAAACGTCGAGTTAAACTGTACTCTAGGTCAAATGGACCTAACAGACATTTACAGGACCTTTCATCCAACCGCTGCAGAATACGTATTCTTTTCATCAGCATATGGATCATTCTCCAGGATACATCATGTTAGGTCACAAAACATGTCTCAACAAATTTGGAAAAGTCAACATCATATCAAATTTTTTTCTGAAATGGAATAAAACTAGAAATCAATTAACAAGAGAAACTTTGGAAATGATACAAATACATAGAAATTAAACAACATGCTCCTAAACCACAAATGGTCAATGAAGAAATTAAGAAGAAAATTAAAAATGTGTTGAAACAAATGAAAATGGAAATAAAACACACCAAAAATCTGTGGGCTGTAGCAAAAGCAGTGCTAAGAGGGACATGTATGGCAATAAATGCCTACATTAAAAAAAAAAAATAGAAAGACTTCACATAAACAATCTAACAATGCACCTCAAGAAACTAGAAGAGCAAGAAAAATCCAAACCAAAATTAGTAGAAAGGAATAAATAAAATCATAGTATAAATAAATGAAATTCAGACTAAAAAAATACAAAAGATCAACAAAATTAAAAGTTGGTTTTTTGAGAAGATAAATAAAATTGGAAAACTTTTTGCTAGACTATGAAAAAAAGAAAGTCCAAATGAATTAAATCAGAGATAAAAAAGGAAGTATTACAACTTTGGAGATGACAGAAATAGAAAGTATCATTAGAGACTACTATGAAAAACTATGCTGACAAATGGGAAAACCCAGAAGTGGATAAATTCCTGGACACATACAACCTACCAAGATTGAACCATGAAGAAAATTGAAAATCTGAGTCGACCAACAATGAGTAACAACATCAAAGAAGTCATAAAAAGTCTCCCGTCAAAGAAAAGCCTAGGATCTGATGGCTTTACTGCTAAAATCTACCAAACATTTAGAGAAGAACTAATACCAACTGTACCTAAACTCTTTCAACAAATTGAAAAGTAGACAATACTTGCAAACTCATTCCATAAGGCCAGTAATATCCTGATACCCAAACCAGACAAGAACACTACCAAAAAAGAAAACGACAGGCCAATATCCCTGATGAATATACATATAAAAATCCTTAACAAAATACTAGCAAACAAAATTCAATAACACATTAAAAGGATCACTCATCATGACCAAGTGGAATTCATCCGAGGGATGCAAGATGGGTTCAACATATACAAATTAATACATGTGATACATCACATCAACAGAATAAAGGAGAAAATTATGCGATGATTTCAACAGGTGCTGAAAAAGCATTTGATAAAATTCAACATCCTTTCATGATAAAAACTCTCCCCACAATGAATATAGAAGCAAAATACCTCAACACAACAGAGGCCATGTATGACAACCCATAGCTAATATGATTCTGACTAGGGAAAAGCTGAAAGTCTTTACACTGATATCTGGAATAAGGCAGGATGCCCACTTTCATTACTTCTATTCAACATAGTACTGGAAGTCCTAACCTGAGCAATTAGGTAAGAGAAAGAAAAAAAAGGGCATCCAAGTTGGAAAGAAATAAGTCAAATTAGCCTTATTTGCAGATGACATGATCTTACATTTTAAAAGACCTTAAGACTTCACCAAAAAATTCCTAGCATTGATAAATTCAGTAAAGTTGTAGGATACAAAATCAACACACAAAAATCAGTAGCATTTCTATATGTTAACAGTGATCAATCTGAAAAAGAAATAAATAAAGCAGTCCAAGTTACAACAGCCACAAAGAATATAAAACACCGAGAAATCAGTTGAACCAATGAAGTGAAAGATCTATATAAAGAAAACTACAAAACACTGATGAAAGAAATTGAAGATGACACACACAAAAATGAAATGATATCCCATGCTCCTGGATTGCAAGAATTAATATTGTTAAAATGTCTATACTATCTGAAGTGATCTACAAATTCAAGCAATCCCTACCAAAATACCAAATGCAATTCTTCACAGAAATAAAGAGTAAAATTCATATGAGACCACAAAAGAACCCCAAATAGCTAAAGCAATCCTAAGCAAAAAAGGACAAAGCCAGAGGCACCACACTACCTGATTTCAAGTTATACTACAAAGTTATACTTACTAAAATAGCATTGTACTGGCGTAAAAGCAGATACATAGACCAATGGAACAGAATAGAGAACCCAGAAGTAAATCTATGCACTTACAGTAAACTCATTTTTGTCAAAGGCACTGAGAACACACATTGGGGAAAGAAATTTGTCTTTAATAAATGGTGCTGGAAAGAATGAATATCCGCATGCAGACGGATGAAACTAGATCCCCATCTTGCAACACAGACAAAAATAAACTCAAAATAGATTAAAGACTTAAACGTAGGACCAGAAACTATGAAACTACTAGAAAAAGGCATTGGGGAAATTCTACAGGACATCGGTGAGGACAAATATTTTTTGGAGAAGACTTCAAAAGCACAGGCAACAGAAGGAAAAACAATGGGATTTCATCAAGCTGAAAAGCTGCTGTGCCACAAAGGGAACAAAGTGAACAGACAACCTACTGAGTGGGAGAAGGTGCGGACAAACTCTCCAGCTGACAAGGGATTAATAACCAGAGTACATAAGGAACTCCAACAACTCAATACCACAAAAATAAATAACCTGATTTGAAAATGACCAAAAGATCTGAATAGACATTTCTCAAAAGAGGACATATAAAGTGGCCAAGAGGTAGGTGAAAAATGCTCAGTGTCACTGATAACAGGGAAACGCAAGTTAAAACCACAATGAGATATCATCTCATCCCAGTTAGAAGAGCTATCATCAAAAAGACAAAACATAAATGCTGGTGAAGATGCAGAGAAAGTGGAAGTAATACACTGTTGGTGGTAATGTACACTACTATGGAACATAGCATGGAGATTTCCCAGAAAACTACAAACACAACTACCATACGCTCCAGAAATTCTATAATACTGTTGGGTACATATCCAAAAGAAAGGAAATCAGTACATCAAAGAGATGTCTACACTTCCATGTTTATTGCAGTGCTGCTCGCAATAGCCTAGATATGAAATCAACCCAAGTGTCCACCAACGGAAGAATAAAGAAAATGTGGCACATATACACAATGGAACATTATTCAGTGATAAAAAAGAATAAAATCCTGTCATTCACAGCCACATGGATGGAACTAGACATAATTAGATTAAGTGAAGTAAGCCAGGCACAGAAAGACAAATATCACACGTTCTCACTCATATGAGGGACTTCAAAAACGTGATCTCAGCTGGGTGTGGTGGCTCACACCTGCAATCCCAGCACTTTGGGAGGCTGAAGTGAGTGGATCATTTGAGCTCAGGAGTTGGAGACCAGCCTGGGCAACATGGCCAAACCCCAGCCCCACTAAAATACAAAAATTAGCTAGGTATGGTGGTATGTACTAGTAATCCTGCTAGTCGGGAGGTGAGGTGGGAGGATCATCTGAACCTGGAGAGTTGAGGCTGCAGTAGCCATGATGGAGCCACTGCACTCCAGCCTGGGTGATGGAAGTGAGACAGTGTCTCAAAAAAAAAAATTGTATATTGTTATATATGATTATATAACAATAAAATGTTATATTGAAATATACAATAATCTTATTGTATATTTTTATACAATATATATTTTTATACAAAATATATAATAATCTTATTGTATATTGTATATTGTATATACAATAATCTTATTGTATATTTCAAAGTAGTTAGATTTAATTGTGTATTTTTAAATAATCTTATTGTGCATTTCAAAGTAGTTGGATTTAATTGTATATTTTAAAATATCTAAAAGAATAGAATTGGACTGTAACACAAAGGATAAATGGGGTGACGGATATACATTGCATATCTACATCAAAATATCTCATGTAACCATATATATATATATGCTCCTCCTATGTACCCACAAAATTTAAAAAAAATATATAGCTAGAAGAGAAGATCTGTAGAATTCCCAACACAGAGATAAATGTTTGAGATGACGGATATCCCAGTTATCCTCATTTGATCATTACACATTGTATATTAGTATCAAAATATCACACATACCCTCCAAAATATGTACAACTATTAAATTATCAGTTTTAAAACTTGGAAGGAGTCATGTACGCCCCCACCATCCAGTGGGGTCCCTTCTGCACAGCATCTTCTGGTCCTGTGAACGTGTTCCTGTATTTGATATCATACCACTCACGGTACACATACTGCCGAAAACGTCACTGCCTGCGAGCCCTTTACACAAACCTTTCCATGTGCTCGCACAGTGGCCACGGTAGGCATGTGCAATTTCGTGCTCTTTCAGGCTACTCTTTGCTAAGCCAGGGCACTGATTTGGGATTGGAAGGTATTCCTTTTGTTGTCATTTTGCTGTGAAAGACACACTGCACTTTGGGAGGCCAAGGTGGGCGGATCCCTTGTGGTCAGGAGTTTGAGACCAGCGTGGCCAACATGGTGAAACCCCGTCTCTACTAAACATACAAAAATTAGCCGGTCATGGTAGTATGTGCCTGAAATCCCAACTACTCAGAAGGCGGAGGCAAGAGAATTGCTTGAACCCGGGGGGTGGAGGTTGGAGTGAGCTGAGATCATGCCACTGCCCTCCAGCCTGGGCAACAGAGTGAGATTCTGTCTCAAAGACAAAAAAAAAAAAAAAAAAAAAGACTGTGCCTGGGTAAGATGGAATAGGGCTGCAGCTTTCCAACTACTCTTTGACTCAGCACCAATTTCTAGAATCAACAGCAGTGAACAAGCATAATCATTTCCCTGTAACTTTGCCAGCACGGGAAGGTACCATTTTAAAATAACTTTTGCTGGGAGGCCAGATGTAAAAGGGGACTTCCAGATGCCGGCCCCCAGATCTGTCCTCACTCACCCGGCTGGCACAGACTTCTCTGTGCCCTGCTGCAGCTCCTTCATCTCTTCCTGTAGCTGCTGTGGCTTTGTAAAATGACCCATGAAGTTGAAATAATCCTCCATGCAGGGCCGATGGATAGCAGGTGAATAGTTAATACCCAATTTCTGTAAAAATTCCTGGTAGGTAATGTGCCCTCTTCCCTCCGTGTCGTACCTTAAAAAAACAAAAACAGAAACAGTAAGCACTTCTCAGTAGCTACTAAGGCGTGTTGGTGCTCAGGGTTTAGGAATGTCTGCACCGTCTGTGAGGAGCTCGGATTCCATCCCTCACCACTCAAAGCGTGCCCTCTAGAGCCCTGCCTGGCAGAGCTGGAAGGCACGAGTCTGGGCCTCGCTCCAGATCCGATCTGAATCCGCATGTTGACAAGGACCCCAGGTGACTCACAGGCACCTATTCAGGACGGTCACATCACACATGGCCTGCCCGGAGAGAGAGGCACCGTAGCCACTCACCTGTCATTCTATTAGAAAAAGCTCTGACTACAGAAAATTAAAGTTGCCCCTCCACGCATTCAGCAGTCTTTTGTTTGTTTGATTGAGACAGGGTCTTGCTCTGTGGCCCAGGCTGGAGTGCGGTGGTGTGATCTTGGCTCACTACGACCTCCATCTCCCCAGCTCAAGTGATTCTCCTGCTCAGCCTCCCAGGTAGCTGGGATTACAGGTACGCACCACCATACCTGGCTAATTACTGCATTTTTAGTAGAGACGGGGTTTCACCGTGTTGGCCAGGCTGGTCTCAAACTCCTGACCTCGGATGATCCACCCACCTCGGCCTCCCAAAGTGCTGGGATGACAGGCGTGAGCCGCCGCACCTCGCCCATTCAGCAGTTTTTTAACTTGAATACTTACCTGTGAAAGGAACTATGTTAAGGTTTAGACGAAAATTCTTCAAAAAGCATATTCACTCTTAAAACTCGAATACGTGAATGTCATTTGATTCAAAGACGGTAAAATTCCCCATTTTCTCTTTGAAGAGATGCCAATTACATACAGCCAATGAGAGGGACCAGTGAGGAAAACAAGATAAGAATTATGCTCTGTACCTTTTATGTCATTTTCTATTATTGAGATTTTTCTGAATTAGAACTCATTAAAAAAGGCATAATGGAGGGTTTTTATCTCCCAACGTTATTCAAATAGAATAGAATTACTTCAATAAAAATTTTAAGGCAAATTGCCAATTTTCTTTAAAGAAAGAAAGCATTTATTTTTACAGAAAGATCTTGGTACTCATCTAATCGATAAAAATGGCATTTGCAGATGTGATTTTCCCCAGATGAACTCAGAGTTACAAGGAATGAGGCTATATTTAAACAATTTTGCCAGCAGAATTCTCCCATCAGGACGTTGCTTGGGCATGTGTCTGCCGGAGCAGAAGTACCATCGGTTTTCCTTGGAGAGGTAGAGCTCTTTCGCTGTGCTTGTTAACCGATGAGATCCTGGAGGACCTATGAGACCCACAGTTGCCTCTGACACACTAAGCCCCGTGCGACTGTTTAAGCTGAGTTAACAATAAAGAAAACGTCCTTATATGCCACGTTCTTGTCCTCAAGGGGACGGGGTGGCAGGTAGGAGAGAAAGCAGGACGATGTTTGGGTGAATGCCGCTTCGTGCACTTGTGTTTAAACTTGCAGGGGCTCTCAGGAGTTGGAAGACCACCACCCTTCCCAAAGGCCACGTGGGCCTGTCCCGTCGGGTGTCCATGAGAGTCCTCTCCATGCTCCCTTGCCTTCTGTGCCCTGCAGATCCCCGCTCCTCCGCCATGTGTTTGTCATCCACCTGCTACCTGAACACAGTATTTGTACATTCTCCACACAGACTCTACCTGTCAAGGTAAGAAAAGCCCCCTTGGACAATTTCCTTCACTACTTTGCAGGTAGGGTGCAGAGAGAGTGTTCCAGGTAAACACCAGCTCACCGGCTCTTCACCTGGCAAGGCCTTTGCCGGCTCCAGGGATCAGTTCCTCAGCCAGGAGCCGTCACACGCAGTCCTAGATGTGAGGTATCAGGACAGTGCCCTGCCCAGCTCCTGCCATGACCAGCTCTTTATCCCCTGCAGATCTTTTTGGGTATCTGGTTTTTTTTTTCTCTTTTCTCCACCAGAATACAGAGGGGATGACAAGATCTTTTCAGGTGTCTGTTAGGAGGATGACTTTAATTTTGCAACCCAGAAAAGTACCCTTCCATCTTTATTCAGTGAATTTTGTTTTTAAAACACAAGACAACACACCCTCAGAAAGAGGCCTGTGGGCTCTGTAGTTCCCGAGGCTTCTCCTGTGGCTGTAGAAGAGCTGTGGTCTCAGCAGCACTATCAGAGGCAGAAGCCTCCAGCAAAGGCTTCCCTGCTGCTGGCGATGCTGAGATGGCTGCAGGGAGGAAGCTGAATTTCACATGGACATACCAAAGGCGGAAGGACTGCCATTTCTTGAGCTTTAGGGTGATCCCAGGGCCACGCCTTTCTCCTTGAACTACATCAGGACTCTAACTAGCCTTGTGCCACCAGGGCAATGTAATAATGCAACTCAGGTCAAGATGCCCTCTGAATAAAGCCCTAAGGGGTTCCCCATTCTGATAGGAGGGTTCCTAACAGAATGGTCCACAGCCCACCCACCTGACACGCAGCCCCAGAAAGCAGTGTGCCTACTTTGGAAATGTCTCTCTCCTCCTAAGTCAAAAGAACCACTACGCTGCCTTCCTCTGAGCTCTTCACGGCATGGCGGAAACTGGATGGGTTACTGCATGTGGGGATACACGGGGAGTGCATGCTGGCATTTCCTACTGCCCTGTGCCACCCAAAGGTTCTCCCACATCCTGCCTCCATCCAGTTCCTCCGTCCATGTCTTGTCTGCCTACCACATGGCAAGTTTCTTGAGAAGAAACTATGGTTCATTCATTTTTGCAAACTCCCAGCATCTGGCACACAGCGTCCTCACGCCTTGCATGAGCTGTAGTATCCATTCACAGACGTTGAGCTAAGAAAAGTGAAGGCGTTGCATTTCCAAGGAAGGGCTTTCCTCCTGGAGTGCTGTGCTCAAGGGGTGACTAACAACAAGCTTTCCATCGTGACACTGGAACTGAATGAAAAGGCACTCTTAATGACTTCATTAATAAAGATCATAAACGTTCTATTCTCATCCAAAGGCACAGAAGACCAGATCGCACAACTGCAACTAAAATATCGTTGTGCATGTGATTAACAAGCAAGCTAAGTGAGCTTACATAACCTCGCCCTTCATGGTATAATCCTTGTGTAACATTTTAAAAAATCAACTTGCCTATAAAGTTGAATTTTCAAATGGTTCAGCAATAGATGTCCCAGGAAAAAAATGTACACATAACCAGAGGACCCATAAAAATTCACATTTGTGGATGGCGATGGCCTCTCATTTGTGATACAAGTAGATGACTCTGCCCATTTATTGTGCACACAGCAATTCAGCTGTGCACATAATTTGGGTATGTTCACATTGATTGGTTTGCTTGGCTGAGAATGTCTCAGTCCTTTAGGCTCAGTTTAAGCACTGGATTCTTACATAAATTTCAGAAGTACCTTCAAACGCCACTGTCCCTAGAGTTACAGGGCAGTATCAGGAGGTGCGGTGTAAACCCAGCCCAGACGGCAGAGGCAGACGCAGCACCTCGTGTAGCTGGGGACACAAGGAATCCTCTCAGGTGCCGTCTCGGAGGGTGGTCTGACGGCTCAAATAGCTGCTCTTTAGAAATCAAAGTGTCTGATATGGCTTGGATTTGTGTCCCCACCCAAATCTCATGTCCAATTGTAATCCCCAGTGCTGGAGATGGGGCCTGGGGGAGGTGACTGGATCCTTCATGAATGGTTGAACGCCATCCTCATCATGCTGTTTTTCTGACGATAGCGAATGGGTTCTCAAGAGATCTGAGTGTTTAAAAGTGTGTGGCACCCCACCACCACCTTCATCCTGCTCTGGCCATGTGAAGCGCTGGCTCCCCTTTCTCCTTCTGCCATGATTGTAAGTTTCCTGAGGCCTCCCCAGAAGCTGAGCAGATGCCAACAAAGGGCTTCCTGTACAGCCTGTGGAGCCATGAGCCAATGAAACCTCTTTTCTTTATATGTTACCCTGTCTCAGGCATTTCTTTATCGCAGCACAAGAAAAGACTCATACAGTGTCCAACTGCCAGAGTTGAACATGCCCAAGGGGCACATTCAGTGTGTTCTGATGGAATTACAGAAGATCAGACACCATCTGTTCCAGTGCCCATCAAGATCCAAAATCCGACTGGGCATGGTGGCACACATCTATAATCCCAGCGCTTTGGGAGGCCAAGGTAGGAGGATCACTTGAGGTCAGGAGTTCGAGACCAGCACAACCAACATGGAGAAACCCTGTTTCTACTAAACATACAAAAAAAGCCAGGAGTGGTGGTGGGTGCCTCTAATCACAGCTACTTGGGAGGCTGAGGCAGGAGAATCGCTTGAACCCAGGAAGCGGAGGTTGCAGTGAGCCGAGATCGTGCCATTGCATTCCACCCTGGGCAACAAGAGTGAAACTCCATCTCAAAAAAACAAAAAAACCCAAAACAAATAAATAAAAAGAGCCAAAATCCTCCCTTTACACTGCCCAGTAAGAAGGCGGTCGCCTCAGACGAAGCCATGTCAGACAAGAGAACCACACTTCCTTCAAGGACTGCCTGCCAGGGTCCCAGATGGCTTTAATTACTGAAAGGTTCTTCACGTTGAGCTTACAGTCTACCCGGCTAGCACATCTCCAAGTTCAACTTCTTTGTATTCAGTGCATCTAAAAGTCCTGGTCTCTGAGTAATGCCGCCCTCCCCCTTTCAGAATTGCAGCCCTCCCGACCCCCATGTCACCATTTGCTGCATAAACTCCCACGTGGCTGTAAATACCCACAGTGGTTTCTGTTTCCCCATCTGGGTCCAGATGAACACACTCCTGGAGTCTCCTCTGCCTTAAATGCTCCTTGTCCCATCTCCCTTGGGGTAATTCCATGTGTGGCAGACACCACGATGAGTTCCTCATCTCTGTTTCTTTTTCCCCCTGGACATGCATGCAGAGGGCCCCTCCCAGCCTCCCTTGCAGGTGGTCACAGCCATGTGGATGGATTCTGGCCACAGGAACATGCAAAGAGGGTGAAGATGGCTATGGTTCCAGGCCTGGGCCCTGCAAAGCTGCCCACGTGCTCCGCCAAGCTCTTTCTCCTTCTCCGTCGGCAGATACAAAAGGTCCAGGGGATGACGGGAGACGCCTGGTTCCTAAGTGATCCTGCAGGCGGTGTGCCCCCCATACCCACACTAGACTAGGACTCCATTTTTGCGGAAGACACTGAGATGCTGGCCCTGTTTGTTGCCACGGTTAGCCTCACCCGACCAGTATACCACTGGGACCAATGCAGCTTAACATCACCTTAGACATCTCAGTTTTGCAAATTTACAGGATAAATCAGACAACCCCATTAAAAAGTGGGCAAAGGACATGAAATGGACTTTTCAAAAGAAGACATACATGTGGCCAAAAAGCAGATGAAAAAAGCTCAGCGTCACTGATCCTTAGAGAAATGCGAATCAACGCCTCAATGAGACCCCCTCTCACATCAGTCAGAATGGTTATTATTAAACAGTTAAAGAATGACAGATGCTGGCAAGGTTGCAGAGCAAAAGAGAATGCTCATATGCTGTTGGTGGGAGTGTAAACTAGTTCAACCAGGGTGGAAAGCAGGGTGAAGACTTCTCAAAGAACTAGAAGCAGAACTATCATTCCACACAGCAATCCAATGACTGCGCCCATAGACCCAGTGGAATAGAGACCATTCTATTATCAAGAAACATTTGCATGTATGCTCACTGCTGCACTGAGCACAACAGCATAGACACAGACTCTACCTCAATGCTCACCGATGGCCGACTGCATAAAGAAAATGTGGTACATATACACCATGGAATTAATATCTATGCAGCCATAATTTGCATAATTTCCTTCTTAGGGACTGCGACTGACCTAAGGGATAATGAAAACATGGACAAGGGAAGGGTCACCAGGACAATGTGTGTGCCGCCCCAAAGACCATTCCAGAGGGCAAAAGGGAAGGGTCACCAGGAGAATGTGGGTGCCGCCCCAAAGACCATTCCAGAGGGCAAAAGGGAAGGGTCACCAGGAGAATGTGGGTGCCGCCCCAAAGACCATTCCAGAGGGCAAAAGGGAAGGGTCACCAGGAGAATGTGGGTGCCGCCCCAAAGACCATTCCAGAGGGCAAAAGGGACCCACTGGAGGGAGGGAATAGAGGAATTACCACCCCAAGAACGGCACTTTTCTGTGGCCTCCAAATATATTCTCTAGCAGACAAGATTCACCATCACTCTTCCACGTCCTCATAAATTAAGCTTGTTATGTGAAATAACTCAGCTTAAAAGCCCAGCTCATCAGTCCCTGATTTCTGAGCCTTCATAGGTCCCAGCAGGGACAAAGCACTGAATTACCAAGACTTTCTCTCCTAAGAGCATGTGAGTCTCTCAGGAGATGAGCTCTGGGTTATTCATTCATCTTGGTCATCCTCAGCCATGCAAAGAGGCACAGAGCCAGCGTTTAAGAAGCATTTGCTGGGTGACCAAATGAAGAGAGGGTGTGTTAAATTCACTGAGTGGTTACTGTGCGCCAGGCCCCGGGCTCGCACTTTATATGACTCCTTAACCAGGCATCACAGCGGCCTGGGGTGACAGGGAGCATTAGTGCTGCTTTGCAGGCAATGAGGAGTGTATGGCACAGAGAAGCTAAGTAACTTGATGGAGGTCACACAGCGGGAAGCAGGCAGGAGTCACGCCCACGCCATCTGGCTGCAGGGCTGTTGCTCTTAACCAGTCCCCATCTGTGGCATTAAGGTCAACTAAAGGATAGTGGACAAAATTCAGACTGCAAGCAGTTGTCAACACAGGGTGCAAATCCGTACACTTCATAATTGTGTTCATAAATGTATAAACTCCAGCCACGAGCAACAGTGAGCGTCCACCTCCAGTGGGGACAGAAACAAGTTCTGTCCTGCCCTCAGAAAGAGGGTCCGCGCACTCTCACTTCCCACATGGGAGCCTCGGTGGGGGACACGACTCCAGTGCCTTTCATCCCCATGGCCAGCCCCCACTCAGGGGTCCGTCCTGTGCCCCCCGACTCCCAGGCGGCAGGTCTCCCAGGGCCAGCACTCCCAGCCAGCCTCTCCCCTGAACTGTTTCCTGACTCATCTTCCCGAACCACAGCCCTGTTCGCCCTATGACCACACTCAACTTCCGTTGTTCCCGACCGCCTGGTCAGTAACACCTGGCAGCAAGGACCTGGTAAGGTATCTGCCCTCCACTTCCTGTCTGACCCTGGGAGCCCCATGCCACTTCTGGCAGGACACCTGCCTCCCTGCAGACAGGCGGCCGCTGACCTGGAATGTCTCCTTCTCCATCTGGACCCACCACAGCGTCTAGCTCCCCCGGCCCCACGCTCCCGCCTCACCGCCCACTGCCAGTCCACCTGCTCTCTGCCCAGGGTTTTTGCACAGCTGTCACTGTACCGTAGCTACCTGTGTAAATGCATTCTGCGCCCTGACCGCTCCCCAAAGACTGGGACCACGTCGTCATCTCCAGATCATCCAAAGGGTCAACCGAGGGGGAGGGCTGTGCCTTCGCCGGCTTTGCAAAGCTCTGCCTGTCAGCCAGCCAGAACTACTAATGTAAGCTGCTCAGACAGAAATGGGCAGGGAGTCTAATGAGACCCTGCGTTGGAACTGATCTTTAAAAGAATAAGGATTTTGTGAGAACTTCCAGTGGCTTTTCTAAATTAGACACAAAACCACCCACCTAATTCTAAACTTGGCCAACATTTCAGCCTTCCACTTTGAACAGGTGAAAAGTTGGGAAATAGTATGAAGTGTTTCATGAGTTTGCCTCCTGAGTGGCCGTACGATGGTGGAATACCATCCTGGGGGAACGCAGGTGGCTGCGGACACACAGCGAAGGAGGAGGTAATTTGAAGTTGGGTCTGGAACTCGGGAAGAGACCACATTGTTAGTGTGGGATGTGAAACTCAGACGTCCATCCAGGGAAGACCGCAACAGGGGGCCCAGTTCCGAAACAGCGAAATAGAAAATATGCTTGACAAATGGAGCCAACACTGGATACAATCTTCAGTTTAACAGACCCTCGGGAAGCTACTCCAAGTCGCTGAAAGTTCGGTTTTTCTTCCCATAAATTACTTATCTATAAAACAGTTGTGCAACATTAATTCCCGTCTATAGCAATGCAGAGAAACTGTTCTTTCCTTTACCCATGTCTGCTGAGTGAGTTGTATGAGAGGGAAGTCCTTAGAGAGTGACTTGTTTGGTTAAAACAGTAGAAGTTTGGGCTTGAGCTCTCAGTTCCTTGGAAATGCAAACCTCTCAAGTCTGTTATGGATGATGAGCATTTACCCGGGTTCTCTGTGTTGGCTGAAGACCAACCCATCCACTGAGGCTGCTTACTATGAGCAACAAGGAGCAGGGAACGAGGACAGACACAGGAGACGAGACAGATGTGACCAAGAGAAAATGCTCTCAGCCCCAGTCACCCTGATCCAGGGAAGGATTAGTGCTGAATTTGCCACAGCAAGCAACCCAGTCCATAGGAACCGAAACCAGCCAGTCCCACGTGCCACTTACCTTGCCCAGAGCTTTTCAAACTCTCTTGGTGTGAGGGGAATATCAAAACCGTACAGCGCATTCTTTACGTCCCGGCGCCGGAGAATGCCGTTGCCCTCGTTATCGGTTTCTAGAAAATTCTACAATATCAGAAGATGGTATTTAGGAACACGTGAAAGGAGTGAATGACAGTGGAAAAGATGCTGAGGAGTCACTATCTGGAACAACCTAAGGCATTTGTATCCCCATCCACCTCCTTAATCACCTTCTAATCTAAGTTCCAGGCGTCCTCATCACTCCTGGAAAGAAAGTGACCAAGCAAAATGGGAAGGAGAATCAGGTGTTGGACGGGGGTGGTTTCTGAGTGGTATCTGGGGTTTGACCTGGATTCTTGGGTTCACAAACAATTAGAAATAAGGGCCAACCAGAGCCCGCGAAATGAGATGGAGGATCCTCATCCCAGTGAAGGTAACTTTAGCCCTCTGGCTGTGAGAGGGGAAATGAGGGACATTAGACTCCAGCTATGATGACAAGATTATACAGTACCATTTTTATGTCCCTGAGGGGTACAGAAGGTATTGTCAGGCATATAAGAGGACCACAGAGTTGAGTAACAGCTAACACACGTGGTTCTCAGCAATATCTTCCCTTGTTTCCAAGTAATATTTTATTTAAGCTTCTTCATAACAATGTGATGAGGTGTATGTAATGGGTACATCTACAGAATTCTCTGTGAGCATGATACTTAACAGTGAAAGAACAAAGTGTTCCCCTTAAGATCAGGAACAAAGTGAGGATATCTCCATCACCCACTTTCAACATTGTACTGCGGGGTCTTAGTTAAATTAAGCAGGAAAAAGGATAACTGGTATAATGACAGGATGGGAAGAAATACAATCATTATTATTCACTGACATGATTGTATACATAGGAATACAAAGAATCTACAAATAAATTATGATAAGAGGTGAATTTAGCAAGCGGTCTGGATTCTATATCAACAGGCGAAATCAATCACATTTTTATATATCAGACACAGAAAGTGAAATTTTAAAAGATAACATTTACGAAGGGCATCAAAAATTAGAAAGGCCTTAGGAATACATCTGTGATAGCTGAGAAATGCCTTTATACAGAAAAGTATAAAACTTTATTGTAAGATATTAAAGAAGATCAAAATAAATGGAGAGACACTATGTTCATGAATCAGAAAACGCAAATAGAATAGTAAAGATGTCATTTTCTCTGTGGAACTCAACAAAGTGATTCAAAACTCTTGAAGAACAAGATAGAGGGAGTTGCCTACCAATTAATTAAGATGTATCATTAAGTTATAGTGATGACAAAGATGTGATGTAGGTGCCAGCACAGGCGAACTGATCAATGGAACACAACGAGGAGGTCAGTAACACCTGCAGGCTGTGATGTAGGCAGTGGTGATGCTCAGATCAGCCAGGGGAAGGGGGACTTCACAATGACCAGTGCTGGGACAGCCGGCCTTCCATACAGAGGAAATTACACTGGGTCCCTGCCTCACAACACTTGGGAAGCATCTAGTCCAGACTTCAAGACCTGAGTGTGAACACTGAAACTGTCAAGTCCCTGTAAGAGAATGTGAGAGAATATCTTCATGACGACTCTCGGGTAGAATTCTTAAACAAGACCTACAGAGAGACGTTAGTAAATTTGACTACATTAGAAAGAACTTATGTTTATCAAAAGACACTATATAAAAAGGGTAAGAACACAGACTAGAAACAGAGATGATAGTTGCACCACGTGTCACTTACAAAAGAGCAGGACCTGCAGAGCAGCGTACACCATGACCACAGTAACAGTTTCTCAAGATTTAAAGTCTCAGGCCACCACTTCACAATGAAGGAAACCTGACCAGTGAATGAACAAATGAAGATATTCAATCTCACTGATAACCAACAAAACGCCAATCAAATCTGCAATGAGATACTATTACACATCTACTAGAACAGGAAAAAATAGGCAAGCCTGACAGTACCAAATGCTACAGTATTGAGCAGTGTGGACACAAAGCCAAAAATATTTGCTATCTGGGCCTTTACAGAAAAAGTGTGCTGGCTCCTGTTCTAAGATATTGGCAATATTCTTTTCCTTCATCTGAATGATGGTTACATCGTGACCACTTTAAACTTTTTTAAACTGTATATATGTATTTTATATACTCCATAGTAGAACCATAACTTTAAAAAAATTAAGCTTTTAAAAATTTGAGTCTGTAGGATTTCAAAATCCCTTTAAAAGCATGTGTCAAGTCCGGCATGTAAGAAACTTGGAAGTTACCACTCTGTCCCAACAAGAAGCAAAAATCTGAACAAATTGGAAAATTTAACGACTCTTGTTAAATCATTAGAGAAGTGGAGTTACAGGCCAAACCACTGTCCCAAAAACTGGAGAGACAGACAGGTGAAGACAGAGAACCATAACTTACTGGGACAGATACCCATAAGCAGAAAGCTTTACAAGAACTTGTGCCAGAAACATAGAAGTGGAAGGAATAATTCCTAACTCATTCTGTGATACCAGTATTGCCCTAATGCCAAAACTAGACAAAGATATTATACGTTAAGAAAATGACACACCAGTATCTCTCAAAAACACAGATGCAAAAAAAATCCTCAACAAAATATTAGTAAATAAAATCCAGCAACATATAAAAAGAATGATATGCCATGGCTGAGTGGGATTTATCTCAGGTATATAAAGCTGGTTCAACATTTGAATACCAATAAATGAAATGCATTATATCATCAGAGAAAAGGAGAAAAATCATATTAACAGATACAGATGCACAATCATATCAACACATGCAAAAAAAAACATTTGAGAAAATCCAACACTCATTCATGATAATAACTCTCAGTAAACAAAGAATAGAGGAGAACGTCCTCAAACTTGATTAAAAAGTCTATCAAAAAGCCTACTGCTAATATCGTATTTAATGATGAGAAAGCAGATTTCCCATTCAGATCAGGAACAAGGCAAGAATATTCCTCTTGCCTACTGTTTTTCAAGCATTATACTCAAGTCTTAGCTAATGCAATAAGACAAGAACAGAAAATAAAAGGTATACAGATAGGGAAGAAAGAAATAAAACTCTCTTTGTTCACAGATGACATGATCGTCTATAAAGAAAATACAAAAGAATCAACAAAAAAACCTCCTGGAATTAATATGCAATCATACCAAGGTTGCAGGATACAAGGTTAATACACAAAAGTCTATCATTTTCCTATATACTAGCAATGAACAAGATTTGAAGAAAACACACGATACCCCTATTCCATGTAGTATTGGAAGTCCTGGCCAAGAGCAGAGCAGTCAGGCAAGAGAAAGAAATAAAGCAGATCAAGATAAGAAGAGAGGAAGTCAAAGTATCCCTGTTTGCTGACGACATGATTCTATATCTATAAAACCTCATGGTATTGGCCCAAATGCTCCTTCAGCTAATAAACAACTTCAGCAAAATCCCAGGATACAAAATCAACACACAAAAACCTCCAACATTCTTATACATCACCAAGAGCCAAGCTGAGAGCCAAATTAGGAATGCAATCCCATTCACAATTGCCACATTTAGTATAAATATAGAGTAAATATAGCATAGTATAAATATACTAATATATATACTATAAATATATTTTAAAAATATAGTATAAATATAACGTATATTATAAATGTTATATTAAAATATGTAGTAGAAATATATTTATATTATGCTAATATAAATATACTAATATATTAATTATATAATTATAATTATACTGATATATTTATGTAATATAAACATAAAGATACATGCACGGGTATGTTTATTGCAGCACTATTTAGATAATGAAGACATGAAATCAACCTAAATGCTCATGAACGGCAGACTGGATAAAGAAACTGGAATATATACATCATGGAATTATATAGGACAGGAGGGCTCAATAGCATCAAATAAAGATTCAATGCAATCCCAATCAAAACCCCAGTAAGTTGTTTGTAGAGATGTAGAGATCCATAAACTTACTCTAGTTTATATGGAGATGCAAAAGACTCAGAATAGCCAACATAATACCACACACACACACACACACACACACACACACATTTGGATAACTGACACTACGGATGTCAAGATTCACTGTAAAGCTGCAGTAATCACGACAGTAGTTTTGGTTAAAGAAAAGACAAGTAGACAAATGGAACACAGCAGAGAGTCGAGAAATCGACCCCCATAAATACCATCAACCTGTCCTTGACAAAGGGGCAAAGGCAGTTCAGCAGAGCGAAGACGGTCTTCTCAACAAACGGTGCTGGAACAATTGGACATCCACCTGCAAATGTACGAATCCAGACACAGACCCTACACCCTCCACAAAAAGTAACTCAAATGGATCACAAGCCTAATTGTAAAACACAAACTATCAAACTCCTGTAAGATCACATAGGAGAAAATCTAGATGACCTCCAGTTTGGCAGTGACTTGCTAGATACAATCCATCAAAGAAAGAACTGAGGAGCTGGGCTTCATTAAGACTAAAAATATGTGCTCTGCAAAAGACACGGCCATGAAAATGAAAGACGAGCCACAGAATCAGAGAAAATGTGAGCAAAAGGCGTATCTGATAAAGGACTCTTCAAACCCAATCATAGGAAGAAAAAAAAAAACAATCTGATTAGAAAATGGGCCCAAAACTTAGTAGATACCACACTAAAACACACGTAGAAAGATGGCAAATCAGCACATGAAAAGATGCTCCACATCACACACCATCGGAAAAATACACATTAAGCAGCAACGAGATACCACTATGGCACTATTAGAATGCCCCCAATTTGGAACACTGAGAACACCAAACGCTGATGAGGATGCAGAACAACAGGAAATCTCATTCCACGGCCTGACTGCAGAAACCAAGGCCTCGCCAACCCACCTGTCACCCGCTCTCCAACAGTCTGTTTGTCGTTATTTTCTTCACAGCACTGATCTGCTTTGTTGCTTGTGGACTGTCATTTCCACAGGTGTGTGATCTCCGTGAGATGGGATCAGACTAACTGTGGTTACCACTACATTCCACTGCACGATTGGTGTACAGTACATGCTAAATAAATCCAAGCAGGAAAGAAGGAAGCTGGAAAGGGGCCTGGACTTGGCACTCAGGGGTCCCCGGGGTCCACACTGAACTGCATCAGCAGATGGGGGCCAGGAGGCTGCTCTGATCTGCCTGATGGGGCAGACTGTGCGAGGGGAGGAGGAAGAAAGAGTGTGGAGGAGGGATGAGAGTCTGGGGCCAGCTGAGAGGTAAGGATGGCTGGAGAACAAAGAGGTTCATCTCTTTAAGTCAGACCCTAGTGAGAGGAGGTTACAGAGAAGCTGGTAGAGAAGGTGCAGAGGATGATACGAAATGGTGCATCCTGCTTTCTTCTCAGCTGGTGCTAACTGGGTCAGCTGCAGTTTCTAGTCCAGACCCTGCCCTTTAACCTGAACCTAGAGGGCTGCTCTGAAAGTGGGCCACACAGAGCTCCCGTCTGTGAGATTGGTTGGCGTGGGCCAGTGCAGACACTCCACTCCATAGAGGGCACAACAGAGACAGTCCACTCTTTGGGGTCCACAGCGCACACAGCCCACTCTACGGAGTCCACAGCAGACAGTAAACTCCATGGAGCCCACAGCACAGACAGTCAGCTCTATGGAGTCCACAGCACAGAGAGTCCTAGTCCACTCTATGGAGTCCACAGAACAGACAGTCCACTCTATGGAGTCCACAGAGCATACAGCTCATTCCATAAAGTTGACAGCACAGGCAGTCCACTCTATGGAGTCCACAGTGCACACAGTCCACTCTATGGGATTGACAGCACAGACAATCCGCTCTATGGAGTCCACAGCACAGACAGTCAATTCTATGGAGTCCACAGCACAGAGTTCCTCTCTATTGAGCCCACAGCACAGACAGTCAACTCTATGGAGTCTACAGTACAGACGGTCCACTCCATAGAGGGTAGAATGCAGACAGTCCACTCTATGGAGCCCACAGCACACAGATAGTCCACTTCGTGGAGTCCACAGTATAGAAAGTCTTCTCTATAAAGTCCACAGTACAGACAGTCCACTCTATGGAGTCCACAGCACAGACAGTTCACTCTACGGAGTCCACAGAGCAGACAGTTCACTCTATGGAGTGCACAGCACAGACATTTCTCTTTATGGTGTCCACAGAACAGAAAATCCTCTGTATTATAGAGTCCACAGAGCAGAGAGTCCACTCTATGGAGTCCACAGCACAGACAGTCCAGTCTGCGTGGGACAGAAGGCTGTGTAGAAGGCAGTTCCAGAAGTCAGCAGGACTTCAAAGACAAAACTTCATATTAAGCACAGGCTAAGAAAGAGAAACAGAGAAAATAACCAAAGGAAACAAAATAATATAAAATATTTCCATAATGCACTTTAAAAAATACTCTTTAGAAGGAAGCTATTGCATTCTTGTTGCATTATCAAGTGGTGAGCTCACAGCCTGGATTTCAGGACAAACTCAGCGGTGCACATGCAGTTCCATTGTCCTGTAGGTCTGGCTGTCACCGGCCCTGTTGGATTAGACAGGCCCACCTCAATACCATAATCAGAGTTTATATGATTGCATGTGGTGGGCAGGTACCTTATACATGTGCTTCTATGATTTTGGCGAGACAGGAAGAAACAGCTCTTTAAAACCCATGCTTATTTGGTGTAAAGTTAAGTATGACAGCACCTTCTATTTTTCATGTATTAGGTCGGTGCAAAAGTGACCGTAGTTTTTCCATTAAAGTTATGGCAAAAACCACGATTACTTTTGCACCGACCTAATACTTTTTAAATTCAAATCAAGCCTGAAATAATGCCAGAAACTTCTGCCCATGTAACTCTAACAGTTACTTATCTTTCTAAACATCGCTTGTCCTTGAATGTGAGAGTTTAGTTTGAGAAAGTCTTTTAGGAGTAGCAGGAGTCCCCACGTTGGGGAGACTGAGCTGTTTTCCCATCTTAGCAGCTGGGTCTGAACAGCTTGATCATCCCAGTGATATTAAAACATTGAAATAGATTTTCTTTCCTTTTAAGGAAATAATCATTGTCTTACCTTAGACAAGTCTGACCATCTGCTTTTTGCTTTGGTAACAAGATACTGATGAGCCTGTTCACAAGCTAGTTCTGAATCCGCGACCTTCTGTTTTGGTCTTAAAAGAAAAAAAATAATAAATAACTGTGTTTACATTTAACAGGTTCATTAATCTCCCGAACGGTTTTCCTATCCCCCTGTTTGTTTCAAGGACACCAGTAAAGTCTGTTATTTCACATCTGGTTTAACTTAATTCTTAAAATACAGCCTTATTTCTCCAGCTGCATGTTAGGGATGTCTCCTTAAATTTTCTAAGTCCTTGTTTATTTTCAGATAAATGATATTCAACTTTTTTTTTTCAGCATACAAACAAACAGAGCTCATTTGTTCTCAGAAGGGGGAACACAATATAACATTAAGTGTCTTGGGAGGAAAACAGCTAAACACTTTTTATTTCTGAATTTGCAAGTTGGGGAGATAGTGGAGACTATAGGAAATGGTTGGGAAACAGTGGGGGAGCTTCTCAGTCTCAGCTCATTTTCCAAGGTGAGGCTTGTTGGATTTAAAGATATGGCCAGGTGCAGTGGTTCACATCTGTAATCCCAGCACTTTGGGAGGCCAAGGCGGGTGGATGACTTGAGGTTAGGAGTTCAAGACCAACCTGGCCAGCATAGTGAAATCCCATCTCTACTAAAAATACAAAAATTAGCCAGGTGTGGTGGCGCACACCTGTAATCCCGGCTACTCAGGAGGCTGAGGCAGGAGAATCACTGAAACCCGGGAAGTGGAGGATGCAGTGAGCTGAGATCACACCACTGTATTCCAGCCTGGGTGACAGAGTGAGACTCCATTTCAAAAATAAAAATAAATAAAAATGATCAAAATTCTGTCATATTTACTCACAGGATGGACACTTAATAAAAGACCCTGTGCTAATTTTTGTATTTTTAGTACAGAGGCTGAGGTGGGAGAATCACTTAAACCTGGGAGGTGGATATTGCAGTGAGACCGTGCCATTGCACTCCAGCCTGGGCAACAGGCGTGATTCTGTCTCAAAAAAAAAGACCCTGTTCTCACAGGTCCCTGACTAGGCCACAGCAAAGTACAATAAAGGCTGAGGCTGGAGGGGCCGGGATGCCCTGGATCTTTCCACACACTAGAACAAATCAGGAGTGGAGGAAAATGTGTCAAGTCCATGCACACCCACGCTGGTGCCTGGCCAGTATGTGCTGCTGTCATTGTGACCTTCCTTCTCCACCCGACTCTCTCCGCTCTCTTCTGCGAGATCACCTCTTTCGAGGCCCCCAGCCGCAGCCGTGATGCTGCCTGCCCACAAGTCTGTGCTACTGGTACTACAACCTCACCTGCTTCTCTGTGCCATCTTTCTCCAACTGCCTACCGGACTCCACAGAATCACGGAATTTCAAGGGTGGACCCAAAGCCCAACCAGCCAATCCCCGACTACTACTTCACCATGACAGGTTTTGGACGACTGATGGAATTACGCTGCATTTTTACAACTTTTGCTGAAAAGGACTGGAAGTCCTGCTGATGTCTGTTTCTCTGCCTTCACCTTTAGGCTCCTCCTAAATCCCACCTGCACTAGAAGACTCATCTGAACCTCCCAAAAGTGCTGTCACAGAGCCCGCGAGGAGCATGTGCTGTCTCAGCAAAGTCAACGCACCTCAACTAATCTCCCTGTCTAAACACACATCCAACGAGCCGTCTGCCCTCTGCTTTCCACATCCTGGTTTCCTTTCTAGGCTGTAAGCCTTGATTATTTCTTTGCTATCCATGCGCAAATCAATGAGTCCTACTGATTTCCCATCCATTTCCCCCTTTCTCATTTTACATACTTGTCCTTCTCGAGAGATCAGGTTTTCCAGGGGTTCCTTACTTCCTGTCCTGCTGCCCAGCTTGTTCATCTTGACCATCAGTCAGATCCAGCCTTCCTTCCTATCAGCCAGTTCGTCAGTCACAGATACATAGGAACCGTCACTATGTGCTGCTCTAGGCCCTGCAGACACAATGACTAGCGATGTGAACAGAGTCTGCATTCTCAAGGAGCTTACAGTGTGAAGGGAAAACTTAGAACAAACACACAAGAAAAATAAGTGATTCGGATAATTTCAGAGACTACATGTGACCAAGAAGGATAGGGCAGGGAAGACTGTCAGGAAGACCAGGGAGCCGCTCTTGACAGCTGTGTGAAGACTTCAGGAACACACACCAGGCAGTACGAGGGTCTTGGGAGGGGCTTCTGGTTCCAGTTAAGAAGGACTAGGCACACTTCACCCTTTCTCTCCCTCTTATGACAATCCAAAGTCCTACATGAAATATAAAAAGCAACTAAGGACACTAAAGGGTAAACAACAGAAGGCTAATGGAGGGAGAAATCCAGACTTGAAGAATGATGAAGTTATGAGTGTCACGGGGCTTTCCTCCCATGTTCCCAGCTCAGACACGAACTGTGTGGCAGATATGAACAGAAAAAGGTCCAAAAGAGAGGCTGACTTTCTGAACAAAGAGCTAGGACCGACGGCCTCTTCAGGACAGAGTGGCGAGAATTCCCTTTTCGGTTTCTCATCACTCTCCCAGCCCAATTCTGAGACTGCACTTTTGCAGTGGCCAAAATGTTAAAATCTTCTCTAACCAGAGGAAATGGGAAAAGGGAGCCCTGTGATTCAAGGAGTGTTAGGAAATCCATGTTAATTTTTTTTTTCTCTCTCTCTTTTCTTCTCTCACGAGGACCCTGAACGTGGCCCTCATCATGAGACACACATAGCAGCACAGATAGGCTAAAACCTAAGATTTTCTAGCCAGAAGACCCAGAAAAGTAGCCCTTGGGAGGGAGGGAAGGAAGGAAGGAAGGAAGGAAGGAGGGACGGAGGGAGGGAGGAAGGAGGGAGGGAGGGAAGGAAGGAAGGAGGGAGGGAAGGAGGGAGGGAAGGAGGGAAGGAGGGAGGGAGGGAAGGAAGGAAGGAGAGAAGGAGGGAGGGAAGGAGGGAAGGAGGGAGGGAGGGAAGGAAGGAAGGAGAGAAGGAGGGAGGGAAGGAGGGAAGGAGGGAGGGAGGGAGGGAGGGAAGGAGGGAAAGAGGGAAGGGAGGAAGTGGGGGAGGGAAGGAGGGAAGGAGGGAGAGAAGGCAGGAAGGAGGGAAGGAGAGAAGGAGGGAAAGAGGGAGAGAGGGAGGGAGGGAGCAAAGGAAGGAAGGAAAAAGAGAAAGGAAGGAGGGAAGGAAGAAAGGAAGAAAGAAGCCTGGAGAAATGGTATATGCATATGACATCTGAGTAAACGGAATACTTGCATACTTCTTGCCACAGACTATGGAGGCCAGAAGACTGTGGAACAACATTTTTAAAGTGCCAGAACAAAAGAAATGTCAACCCCAAACTGTATATCCAGCAAAAGTATCTTTTGAGAATAAAGAATAAAGATATTATAAATAAAAGAAAATGAAATTTGTCTCCAACAGACCTGCTCTAAAAGACATCCTATAGGAAGTTCTTCAAGGGAAGAAGAATGATAGAGAAATTCAGAACTTCAGAGAGAGAGGAGTAACAATAGAAATGGTAAATTCCCAGGAAATTGTAATACATAATGTCTTTTCCTCATAGTTTCAAATATATGAAGCATAAATTGATAGCACTAGGAAAAGAAATCGACAAATCCAAAACTATTGCTGGAGACTTCAACACTCCTCTCTCACTAATTGATAGACTAAGGAGACAGAAAATAAGCAAGAATATAGAAGACCTGAACAACACTGATAACCAACTTGATCTGACATTGATAGAACACTCCATCCAACAGCACCAGAACACACATTCTTTTCAAATATACACAGAGTATTTACCAAGACAAACCATATCCAGGGCCATAAAACAAACCTCAACTAATTAAAAAGAATATAACAGAAGATGTGTTCTCTGACCACAACAAAATTAAACTTGAATCAATAACAGAACAAGATTTAAACACTATGAGATTTTTTTTTTTTTTTTTTTTTTTGAGACGGAGTCTCCCTCTGTCACCCAGACTGGAGTGCAATGGCACAATCTCAGCTCACTGCAACCTCCATGTCCCGGGCTCAAGCAATTCTCCTGCCTCAGCCTCCTCAGTAGGTGGAATTACAGGCACCCGTCACCAGGCCCAGCTAATTTTATTTCTTTGTATTTTTGTATTTTTAGTAGAGACAGGGTTTTGCCATGCTGGCCAGGCTGTTCTCAAACTCCTGATCTCAAGTGATATGCCCACCTGACCCTCTGAAACTGCTGGGATTACAGGCATGAGAAACCACATCCAGCCTGAACACTATGCAAATATTTTGAAATTAAACAACACATTTTTAAATAATCCATGGATCCAAGAGGAAGTCTTAAGGGAAATTAGAAAATAATTTGAAATGAATAAAAATAAAAACTACAACATATTCAGATTTGTTAAATGCAGCTAAATCAGTGCCTACAGGGAAACACATTACATTAATGGCTTATATCAGAGAAAAAAGGACTCAAATAAAAACTATGAGTTTCCAATTTAAGAAAGTATAAAAGAGAAAATAAATCTAAAGCAAGCAGAAAGAAGGAAATAATAGACCCTAAATCAATGAAATTGTAAACAGAAAAATTGAGAAAAATCAATAAAACAAAAGCTAGTTCTTTTAAAAGATCTATGAATGTGGTAAGCCTTAGCTGGGCTGATGAAGAAGAAAGGAGAGAAGAAACCAACTATGAAAATCATAAATTAAATTAGGAATCTCACTGAACACTTCACGGATACTTAAAAAAATAATAAAAGAACACTACGAACCATTTTAATTCCATGAATTCGACAACCTGAATGACTAACATCTTGAAAGATCTAAATTACCAAAACTCACTTGAGATGAAATAGAAACTCTGAATAATCCAATAACTATTAAATTAACTGGATTTATAGTTACAAACCTTCCAACAAAGGACATTCCAGGACTTGATGATTTCACTGGTTAATTCAATCAAATATCTAAGAAAAAATGACAATTCTATACGATCCAGAAAATAGAACAGAAGGGAATACTCCCAGTTTGTTTTATGAGGCTGGGACTGCCATATCAAAATCAGGATTGGTATTCACGACTTTCATTCTTAGATGTCTTCCAAAATAAATCACTTATTTTCTTTATAAAATAAAACTCCTTCTGGCCAGGTGCAGTGGCTCACACCTGTAATCCCAGCACTTTGGGAGGCCAAGGCAGGTAGACCACCTGAAGTCAGGAGTTCAAGACCAGACTGGCCAACGTAGTGAAACCTCGTCTATACTAAAAATACAAAGAATTAGCTGGGTGTGGTGGCACGCACCTGTAGTTCCAGCTACTTGAGAGGCTGAGGCAGGAGAATCACTTGAAGGTGGGCGGCGGAGGTTGTAGTGAGCCCAGATGGTGCCTTTGCACTCTAGCCTGGGTGACAAGAGCGAAACTCAGTCTCAAAAAAAAAAAAAAAAAAAAACCTCATTCTATTTTGCAATTATCATCTGTATCCATTAAACCTTCTCATATATCTATGACACACTGACACAGTATGCAGTCTTAGTGATGTTGATTTTAATCTTACTATAACCTCAGTAATATACTATATTATCCTAAATAATATTTCATCATTACTCTTCTGTTGTTCCCAACTATGCTTTAAGAAACGAGACAGAGAGACAACGAAACGAAAATGACGGAATCACCTAGCGGGATGAGACCACGTGGAAAGGAACCAGCCCTGGCCTTCAGTGTTGCTGCCACAGCGGTCAAAGCCCTACAGAATCTCTCAGGAGCGTATAAAAGAAGACAGTGACACCATGGTGCTGTGTTAGATTTCACTGAACACAGCTGGAAATTCAGAGTTCCTTCCTTATGCCCAAATGGTTAAGGAAACAGAGTTCGAGATGGGAAGAGATTTCACAATTATGAGATGACTCAGAGAGAAATGCAGAGACACAACAGCACTCTAGATTCCAACAAGGATGGTAACATCGAGCAGATCAGCCAAGGCGCTTGATGACTGAATGATACATTTCTAAGGATAAAAAAGGAAATGTGGTATTTCCATTCAGTTAGTCATCCAACAGGACGGATCTGATGCAGTATTTGGTGATGGACTATCTAATTTTGCTAAAAGCACACAATGAGAATACTTTCATCTTTTAAGATGTTTGCACATCAAAATGTACTCCGTGCATGTTGTAAGTGAATAAATGGTCAAGGCACGTGTGTTTTAAGCAAGGATTGGAAGGGAATCAAAGATGTAGGAAAAAAAAAAGGGCGTAAGTCACCAGACGTGGTGGCTCACACCTGTAATCCCAGTAGTTGGGAGGCACGTTGGGAGGTGGGCGGATCACGAGCTCAGGAGTTTAAGACCATCCTGACCAACACAGTGAAACCCCGTCTCTACTAAAAATACAAAAATTAGCCAGGCATGGTGGTGGGCACCTGTAATCCCAGCTACTCAGGAGGCTGAGGCAGGAGAATCGCTTGAACCCAGGAGGCGGAGGCTGCAGTGAGCCGAGATTGTGCCACTGCACTCCAGCCTGGGTAACAGAGAGAGATTCTGTCTCAAAAAACAAAAAACAAAAAAAAAAAACGAATAAGAATAAGTTATTAGACCAATCATTCATTCTACTTGTATTAAAATGCAAATATTTGCAGTTAGGAAGCAAACAAGATAGTGTCCTCTTTTCAGCAAAGTTATGAACTTTCAACGTTTTCAAAAGTATTGTGTTTTTCTGATGCAGGTGGAAAGTGAAGGCCCAGAGAACAGAAGGGTCCAACCAAGAGAGCAGGAAGGCTTCCGGAAAGGGGCGGTATCCAGGTCCGCTGGGTGGTGGAGGTGGAACAGGGCAGGCTATCCAGGCATAGGAGGCGGCCCCTCCCAACAGGCTCCCTGGGCTCGAATCCCTACCTCACTACTCATCATCTGTGTCCTTATGGCCATGTCACTAACTGTTCTGAGCCCCTACTCCTAGGGCTTCACGTGTGACGCCAGCTAGGAACGCCTCCTTTCAGGGCTGCTGGGATATTGAAGGACGTGTCTTCAGGACACACGGCACAGGGCCCAGCCAGGGGGGTCTCGGCTTTCTCAAGCAATGTCTTGGTGTGGGTCTCAGAGCTGTCTCTCCACCGGACCCCAGGGACCAAGCCGGGTCCCGCTGGGCTGCAGCCTGTCCTCCTTTGTGTCTACCCTCCACTCCAGGGCGCTGAAGGATCTTTCTAAAGCACAGTGTGACTCCCTCACCCCATGGCATACAGCCTTCCCTGCCTGCCAATGGAAGACGGTGGCCTTCGCGGCCTGCCCTCCTGCCCCCGTGGCCTCCTCCCCCACCAGGCCCACTGTGCAGGCCGCTCCCACACAGGCGTCCTCCCTGCATTTCCCAAATGTGCTCAACGCTCCCACCTGCCTCGGTGATATGTATGTATTTTTAAGACAGAGTGTCACTGTTCGCCAGGCTGGAGTGCAATGGCATGATCTTGGCTCACTGCAACCTCCACGTCCCATATTCAAGCAATTCTCCTGCTTCAACCTCCCAATCAGCTGGAACCACAGGCACAGGCCATCACGCCCAGCTACGTTTGAGTTTTTAGTAGAGATGGGTTTCAACATGTTGTCCAGGATGATCTCAAACTCCTGACCTTGTCATCCACCTGTTTCCCAAAGTACTGGACTTACAGGTATGAACCACCACGCCCAGCTGCCTCTGTGATTTTGCAAACGCCCTTCCCAGGTCTGGAATGACCTTTCCTCCAGCCTGCACCTGGAAAACTCTTACTCAAACTTCAAGATCCAGCTCAAATATCCCTACTTTTCCTGAGCAACTCACGGGTGCCTCCCTCTGTTCCTGCGGCACTTGGGTCATCTTCTATTTCTAAGTAGCTCTTTATTTTTGTACCTGTCTCATATTTGACCCTGAGCCCCTCAACAGAAGCATCTGGGTCTTACTCACTGCTGCACTATCTAGTCCCAGGACGCTGTCTAGCATATAGCAGACCATCAGAAAATCTTTGATGAATGGGTGTATAAATGTAAATAATAAGGTGAGTCATCTGAACAGAAAACTGCACTGTGTGGTTGAAATTTTCCATGTTCATTCTGCAGAGAATAGAAAATGAACTTTCTCCAGAGAATTTTTTGGGGAAGGATTTTGTTTGTTTTAATGTTAGGCAATCAAGTCTCATAATAAAGCTCCTGAGAACCTGAACTGTTGGAAGCAGGTGTCCAACTTAACGTGTTAGATAATCATTTTGCTTAGGAAGAGACTATCATCATTTTCTTTCTTGTTTTTTATTTTTTTAGTGTAGGCAAAATAAAACCTATGAATTCAGGGGGAGAAATTAGCATACAAGATCGGAAGGCCTTCTGCAGTCTAGCCAAGTGTCACGACGGTCTGGCCCAGCGGCCTTGGCTTCCAGAGGCTCCACTTTCAGGGAGCTGCCCTTGCCTAGGTAGCAGCGACACCTGACTGGAACCCCTGGGGGCCGCTGAGTGCCTCATGGGCAAAACAGCATAGTGAGTGTCACTACGATGCTGTACCATCACGTCGGAAGACACACCTTGGTACTAGTACAGCACATGGCACTTTGGAATTGCTCATGCGATAACAATCGGTCAAGGAGGAGCTGACTAGCTACCTCACTCATGCGTGCCGGCTCTCAGCAGATCTCAGGGAGTGATGGGGACGGGCCATCCCCTGGTGCCACTGTTGGGTGGGGTTGGATGTTAGCCCTACTGTGTCTTCAAGGAGCGTACATTCTCCCTGGGAGAAGGCCAAGGAGGCAGCACTGAGTTGGAGCCCAGCTGGACACTGAGATTGTCCTGGCTGGGAGAGGCCATGCGGGCCGGGGAGCGGCTGGGAGAGGCCATGCGGGCCGGGGAGCAGCTGGGAGAGGCCACGCGGGCCGGGGAGCGGCTGGGAGAGGTTCTTCCACCTCCTGGGGCAGTTGGCACAGGAAACTTCTCAGTGCCCATCAATTACCACAAGATGGTCTGCTTTCCCCAAATTCATACCCTTCACCTAGATTAACATCTGGAGGTGAGGAGGAGGTAGGAGACGTCAGTCCCTGAGGAAGGTTACTGTGTTCACTTGACAAAGATTTATCTGCGCTCAGTTTGTGCACAGCCCTCTGCCTGCCCTGCAGAGGAAGGGCCCAGCCTTGGACAGAGTCTCCCAAGCTTAAATTTTAAAAGGCTGAGCAAAAAGCATACATTTTTGACCCCAGGTTAATACATAGAAAAGTAAGTATATGTATGTATGCATGTATGTGCGTATATATTTTTCGTATATGAATGTATGTGTAAGTATATGCATATGCCAAAAGACTGAAATGATACCCAGCAAAGTAGAAAAATGATGCTCACAGGTGCTAAGACCAGGGCTGTATTTGCTGGTTGTTCTACATCAAATGCATATTTCTTGTATGACTTTCTTGGAACCAGGAAAAAGAAAATCACAATCGCTCCATTCCTTGTATCCCTTTGCGGATGCGATGGCACCGGCCCGCAGACAGAAAAGACACCGACCCGCGCTGCCTTCTTACCTAACGAGTCTTTGAGGTGCTTCGTCTGTTCTCAATGGTCTCTTCTCACACAGATTTCGAAACTCCCGAAAATTTAAAGTGACGCTGAGTCTCAGGCCAAGGAAGCCGAGAAAGCGCTCAAACTCTTGGTCTTTGAGATTGAGCAGCAGGTGCAGAAGCAATCTGTGAAGGTCGTGCATGCTGATGATGCCATCCCTGTCGGTGTCGATTTTAAAGAAGGCAGAGTAGGGGTCCTAAAAACAAAACACCCACGTGTCACAGCACTTCCCTGTCAGCCCTGGACGGCGACACGTGCATACCCCCAGGGGTACGGCCTCATCTCCACGTGAGGAGGGGAAGCCTCGCTGGGCCCCGACTATTGCTTTGAGAGACTCGGCTGTTCCAGGAATGTCCTCACCATGCTTTGCTTTTCCCAAGAAATTACAAAGCTCTCCAGCTACCCGGAAGGTATCGACCATCCTCTTTGAATGCAAAGCGTTCAGGGAAAGGAACAAACACTGCTTTTCTTTCCCTTCCACACTCTCCATTTGCGGAGCTCACACTTCTAGTGCAGGAAGGAGGGGAGAAAGTGCTGGCAGTTTCTGGGGCATATGGACATCCTGCTCACAATTTTTTATGTCACTTTCATAATGTTTGGCCACTTCTGTCTACAGGCAAACAAATACCGCACTGAATCTCACGCCAGGGAGCCACCGGAAGGCCGGGCCTCCATTTCAATGTCCATGATACAGATCAGCTGCGTTCAGGAGCCACAAGCCTGCCACCTCTGAAGGACTTCTGCTCAGCCCATCTCGGTGCTTGGAGGGCACAGGGATTCCTACTTTGCAGACGAGGAAACAGAGGCTCAGGGTTCCCAGGGAACCTGTGGCTAGAGACCCTGCTGCGTGACAGAGCGTGTACTCTGGAGGCAGGTGGCTTAGGGGCAAATCCTAGCTCTGCCACCTACAAGCAACGCGACCATGGGTGAGACAGTTAACCTTGTGGTGCTTCTGTTTTCTCGTCTGTAAAATGGGGACTAAGACAGTTCTTGTGTGGGAAGTAGAAAAGGTCCTTTCTAAAGTTTCCTTTCTTGTTAAAGAGTAAGTGTGCTGATAATTTTGTTAAGCCCCACTGTATGTAGGTGTTGGATGTTGCAAGCTTACAGGCACATAGTATGCTCTATGTCCTTGTACCTTTTTTTTTTTTTTTTGAGACAGAGTCTTGCTCTTTTGCCAGGCGCCAGGCTGGAGTGCAGTGGCACGATCTTGGCTCACTGCAACCTCTGCCTCCTGGCTTCAAGCAGTTTTCCTGTCTCAGCCTCCCGAGTAGCTGGGACTACAGGCGCATGCCACCACACCCAGCTAATTTTTTGTATTTTTTAGTAAAGATGGGGTTTCACTTTGTTGGCCAGGATGGTCTCAATCTCTTGACCTCATGATCTACCCACCTTGGCCTCCCAAAGTGCTGAGATTATAGGCGTGAGCCACCGCACCCAGCCATGTCTTTGTACTTTAACCAAGATCTCTGTTCTGGACCTACGCACAGGCATGTCCCAGCTCTCCATTGCTTTTACCTGTTTAGAAAAGTTTTAAGTTATTAGCCAATCAGGTTTTAGGTTAGATTGTGAGGTCTGGCTCCAGCCAATGAAAACCAGACGCAGCAGTGAGGACGACCCCAAATGCGTAGGGAATAAATTTGTGTCTTTTCCTTTGTTCACAGTACTCTCTTGGCTGGTGAGGGTCCCTTCCTGCAGTCCAGGAAGTAAACACTATGTTGCTGAAAGATCCTTTGTCTCAGTGATAATTTTTCTTTGCAGCACTGAGCATCCATTTCCAACACTCTGCTTCCTTGGGTTGTTTGTGAGGAGTGAATTTGCTAACGATGCAAAGTGCTTAGGATGAGCCTGGCTTTCTGGGCCCTGCAAAATGCTGTTTGTTGCAGCTGCCATTGCCTGAGATCATACAGCAACTGCAAGGCCCGCCTGGGCCAAGGCTCGTCTCCCACATGCACCTGCTTCCTGCGTCTCAGGCCTGAAAAGTTGCTGATGTGGCCCCAACCCACCCGGCTCCATCAGCACCTGCTACAGGCTCCTCCCACAGAGGTTACTTAGGAGAGCAGGCAAGACTTGCTACGACCTGAGTGTCTCATGAAAGTGTGAGGGGAAGTTCTGGAAAGCCCTGTGTGTATTCACTCATGTGTTCATTCACCAAAAATGATTCAGCACCTAACATGTGCGAACACTATGCTAAATACTGTGGAAACCAGTTTAAAAGATGCTGCCCCTGCCTCTGGGAGACAACAGGGAGCCTGATGTCTAACTCTGCCCGAGGGGGCCTCTGGGGGTGCAGGCCCATCTGTTCCTTGACGATTCCCTCTACACTGCCAGCCCCAAGCCCTCACACCCATAGCCTCACATCTCCAGCGGTTTGGGGGCACTTTCTCTGGGACGTCAAAGTGAACATGGCCCCAGTCAAACCCCTGACCTCCGATCCCTGTCCTCACCCTGCTCTTCCCAAGCCTTCCCATCTCAGTGTGTAGAACTCATTCCCTCCAGTTGCTCAGACACAAACCTGTGAGCCGTTCCGAGCCCTTCCTTCCTCTCACACCCCACATCCAGTCTGCCCACACATCCCTCTGGCTGTCCCTTCAGACTGGGTTAGAACTGGACCCCTTCTCTGAGGCTCACGGCCTCAGCCCCCACCCGCGGCCGCTGGAGTCCTGCAGGAGCCTCGGGATGGCTCCCACCTGCTACTGTTAGCTCCATGGCCTCTGCTCTGCACAGGCCCCACTGGGAGAGGCGAGGAGTGTGTCAGGGAGAGAGGAGAGACTCTGAGCGAGGGGACAGGGAGGGGCCTGTGTTGTCATGGGCAAGGTGCAGTGAGGCAGCTGCCAGGCCTCTGCAGCTGGGGTGTCCATACGGGCAGTGCCGACCAGCACAGAGGGGCAACTGCTCCTGGAGCCTTTGCCTCCCGTCTGCCCCCTCTCTCTGCAGTGGCCGCTGTCTCCCGCGTCGCTGGGCTTTGCTTTGGAGGACCAGGTACTTCTCACCTAAATGATACCTGCCTCCTCCAGGCTGGAGCTCACAGGCCAGTTGTCCCGAGTGCTCCTCGTGGCCAGCCATTAGCCTGGATTTGGTCGTTAGGACCAATCCTTCTCTATGTATGCGATCATATTTTTTCAAGCCAAAAATTAGGATGCACACTCTGAAAACTGGACTGAATGTTCAAAGCCTGAGCCCTGCTGGGAAGTCTGAGCTGGGCTGCCATCATAAATGCACGGATGTTGGCATGGGAGCCTGGTGACCAGAATGAATCTCCAGGGGTGATCAGTCTAGGGAAGATGTTTCAGAGCACAGGAAATGGGGTGCTGCCCTCCCCACAGCCCCCGAAGCTGCTCTGATACCCAGTCTCTCGCCTGTCCCTTCCCTGCTGGACCTCGCCCGTCTCCATTCTCCTCTGGATGTGTCCCCAAGCCCCGGGGTGAGGATGCAGTCTAACTCCTTGGGCCCCTTGGCCCTGTCTCTCGAGGTTCGGCTTATTGAATTCATGTCCCTAACTTTATTTACCCTCTTCTAGTTCTCATCACAAAAAGAGCTCAGATCACCCTGCACCGGCCTCTGTGTTTGAAAGGCAGCTGTCTGCTTCTGTTTTGTGTGTTACAACCTCCCGCGCCGCGGCAAGCCACCTGCTTTTCCCTCGAGCCCACGCCTTGCCTGTCCCGGCCTGGCTCAGGCTGCCTCGTCGCCAGCTTGCTCCCTCCTTTTCTGGCCAGTCCATGCTTAGGCTGCACGATTCAGAGCAGGGGCCACCTCCCCCAGGAAGTCCTCCCTAAAGGGCTCTTTTCCCTGTGCCTCACACGTTGCTCCAGTTCCTTCGACAACGGCCAGTCACTACGGACATGACCTGTCTGTGTACCGTCTGTGTCTGGGATCAGACCGCGCTCCCTGGGTGGGGCTGGTCGCTTTCACCCGCAGCATGTAGCACAGGCTCTAGCACATAGGAAGGGTCTGACACGTGTTTGGTGAGTGAATGAATGAGGGAATGCGTGAACGGATTCCAAAGTCGCTGTACCAGGGGTTGTCATGCTGCTTCCTAGTGAAAAGGGTTTCCTTACCCTTCTGCCAGCAAAGCACCCACAGGGAGGCCCTCAGGGAGGGAGGGGCCCCCCGTCCTCCCCACACGCCTCCCTCTGACCAGAGCTGGGTCTGTGGAGAGAGACGCCCTGTAATGCCCTGTGTCCCTCGGGCTGACCGGGACACGGCCTGCATCGGGACTCACACCCACTCGGGCTGCGTGGCTGGGAGCGGGGGAGGCCTAGACAGTCACAGTTTACCCGGAATGACTCCTTCAGCCTCCTGGGGAAAAGCTTCAGGCACTCTTCTGCCGTGATAAAGTGGCTGTCCACGTAACTTTCTGAAGGAGTTGGAGGCTGCAGCGGCGGACGGGCTTCCGGCGCTCTCATTGGAGGGTCTGTAACAATTACACAGATCAGGGCTTCCGTGAGTGCCTGCCGGCCTCGTGTCTACATTAACACTTGATCTCTGCCTGTCCCGAACCCTGTAAAGGCCCCACACGGAGCCCTCCTGCGAGCTGCACACGGCACTGACTTTCTTACCCTCTAGCTTCCTGTCCTCCAACTCCTCCGGCACCTTCCTCCTCTTCCAGGAGGGGCCGTGCTCCAGACCACAGGGCCTCCTTTTACCCTCAGACTGCACTTGGCACCCTGGCAAGGGGCCAGGCGGTGGGGTGAGTGTTATCTGCCAGGCAGGAAGGAACCGGAGGGAGGCCATGTGCAGACTCTGCTGTGAGGCGGGTGACGCCGGGCTCGAGGGACAGAGGATGCCCACAAGCTTGGGGCGCCCTGTCCCCCACCCATCTGCCCACCACACCGTGGGGAGGGCGCAGGTGCAACAGGTGCAGAGAACCACGTCCCAGGACTTGCTGGTCCTGTGTCTCTTGTTCATCTCCCAATTCCTACAGAAGGGGAATGAGAATTCCTGCCTCTTTTTTTGGTTTCCTGGAATCATGTCCTAAAGACAAGAATATATAATTCATTCAATATTCATTAGTTCAGTGGCTATTTCTTGACCACGCATCTGTTAAGTAACATGCTGAGGCCTTCGTCTGTTTCTTGGTCCTCCCTGCAATGCTCAGGAGAAGGTCCTCATGTTGCTTTACACATACGACAGCCTATCATTATGCGAACTTTACCTGTGCGGCGGTAAGGCTTGGGGGCCGCCGGCTCTCCTGGGAGGTGGAGCCCGTGGACAGCACAGCTGAATCCAGGCCGTCTGACACCAGAACACAGCTGGTTCCCTACTGCCTGTGCCCTCTCCCTCCCCTAAAATTAAGGAAGGAAGTGCAAACTTTCCTTAAAAACTCCACATCGGGTGCTGGGCGCGGTGGCTCTAGCCTGGAATCCCAGCACTTTGGGAGGCCGAGGCGGGTGGATCATGAGGTCAAGAGATCAAGACCATCCTGGCCAATATGGTGAAACCCCGTCTCTACTAAAAATACGAAAATTAGCTGGGCATGGTGGCGCGTGCCTGTAATCCCAGCTACTCGGGAGGCTGAAGCAGGAGAATTGCCTGAACCCAGGAGGCGGAGGTTGCAGTGAGCCGAGATTGCACCACTGCCCTCCAGCCTGGCAACAGAGTGAGACTCCATCTCAAAAACAAAAAAAAAACAAAAAAAACCCAACCCCTGCATATATAGTCCACGTCCATCAGGCTGGGGTCATCTGAGTGTGCCCTTGGGTCAGTGCCAGGCTACACACCAGGGACTTGGTTCCCGACGTGGCTCTCTGCTCCTGTTGCACCTGCGCCCTCCCCACGGTGTGGTGGGCAGATGGGTGGGGGACAGGGTGCCCTGAGTTCCTGGACATCCTCTGCCCCTCTTGAGCCTGGCTTCTGCCTCACCCACCTCACGGCGGAGGCTGCACGTGGCCTCCCTCTGGTTCCTTCCTGCCTGGCAGATAACACCCACCCCTCTGCCTGGTCCCTCTGCCACCCCCCCTGACTCCTAGCAGGGGCCACAGAGGGCCTTGCTCCCCACCTTGCTAGAATCTTCATGTGAGAGAAAGCAGCTTAGAGGGACAGGGAGGACACGGGCAGAAAGAGGGGGAGCAAGAAGCGAGGGGAGATCATGGCCTGGCAGCCAGGAAGCTGGGCGCAGGTGACAGACACTGAGTCCAGTGCCGGCTGTGATGGCTTGGCCAGCGCTGGAACCTCAGCTGAGTGACCCACACCTCCTGGGCCCCAATTTCCTCACCTGATAAATGAACGCACCTGGCATGTGGGATGTACTCCCTAAATTATAGGTAAGTTCCTTCTTATTTTCCTTTAAAGATGTCAAAACACATACCCAGGGACAGTGCTAAAACTCTGCAATGCTCCGGCTTCTTGTGATGCCTTTTTTCGGGGGTGTGGGACCTCGCTGTTTAAGGGTGGCAAGTGACGGTCTGGCAAGGCTAGGGGGACCCTGGCGAGGATCCAGCCTGAGTCTCTGGGAAACGCACCACCTCAGTCAGTCACCTCCAGACCCAAGGCCGGGTCGGGGCTGCTGCATTCGGCCCGGCCAGCCCACAGCGGGTTTGCAGCAAAGGAGAAGAGTATTCCACCGAGATATCGGTGTGACTCCTGCAGCCTCTCTAGAGGCCTGCGTCGTCCACCTATATGTCTTTGGCTTGTGAGAAAGCACCCTACTGAGTGGGGAGGAGGCCCCGGCACACAGCACAAAGATGGGCTTCCTAACATCTGGTGCAAGGGCGGGGGCTGCGGGCATGGCTGGTGGAGGGGCGGGGGCTGCGGGCATGGCTGGTGGAGGGGCGGGGGCTGCAGGCATGGCTGGTGGCCTTTCTGAACCTCTGTGCCCTTCTCTGTCCACAGGGAGGAATAATATCTGTCTTGCCTGTACTTGGTATTGTTCATTACAGACAACCAGCAACTACATTAGGGGAAAATCTTAAGGGCCGTGAGGTGTGATTGAAGAAACAGGCTTTGGAGCACAAACTTTCTGAACCAATTTGTGCCCTGAGTTTGTAGAAGACTCTTTCAGGCAAAGTTCTGCACTCACAGTTCTGAACTTGGTCAGATATAATCAAACAAAAAACGTTTGTTTGCAGCCCCGGAAGACACCTTGTTTCAACAGCTCAGCTTAGGCTACTTCAACCCGAGTGGCCCGGTGGCGCTGCTGGCCATTAGCTACCTTCAAATCCTGCCGCGAAATCAAGATAGCTCATCCCTTCCTTTTCAAAGCCTATTTTAGAGGCCAGCAGGGCGTACTGATCATCATCCATGGGCATCCCAGTGTCTTCCAGTACCTGACGAGGGAGAGAGGGAGGGTGGAGAGGCGTTAGGTGGTCCCGCGTGCCAGTCCTCACTGGGCACCTCCTGCTCCTGGCTCACAGCAGGGCCCATGATTGTTACCTGTCTGCCCCCACCCACAGGCTGCCAGAGGGTGGGGCCCGAGTCTCCTGTGTCCCTGGGCCTTGCACGAGGCTTGTGTTTGTTGGGTGAGTGAGAGAACAAAGGGACAAGTGGCACAGTCAGCATGCTGCTCAGGCCTACAGGCGCCACGGCAGACTTTTCCAAGCTGTGCCATCCAAGATAGCCAAAGCCACATTTGTCGCTGCAATGCCTTTAGAGTCTCATACGTTAGGTTTATGTTTACATATATTCAATAAAACAATGGGCAGAGCACGAGGTCAAGAGATCAAGACCATCCTGGCCAACATGGTGAAACCCCGTCTCTACTAAAAATACGAAAATTAACTGGGTGTCATGGTGTGCGCCTGTAGTCTCAGCTACTCGGGAGGCTGAGGTGGGAGGATCGCTTGAACCTGGGAGGCAGAGGTTGCACGGAGCCAAGATTGTACCACTGCACTCCAGCCTGGTGACAGAGTGAGACTCTGTCTCAAAACAAAACAAAACAAGAAAAGAAAACGAAATAAAGCAAGCAAGGTAGTTGAAGGAGGGAAAACTGAAGTCTTCATTCGAGTCTCATTATGGTCCCGGCGGACATGGAAAGCCAGTCCATATGCTAGTCCACTTGCTGAAAGTTATTCCGGATTCCTTCCCTCCAAAACGCATGGCCTACTGTTTCAATTTTGGGTATGCTGGGGGCGGAGGGAACACCTGAAAAAACACTCTTCCCTGCCCTGCAAATACCGAAGTGGAATTGTCTCCATGATGTCTCCTGAGGTGTGACAGAAAAGACGATGCCCTTTGGCCAACAACCCAGACACAGCCACCTGCGTGGATGTGAGCCCCCCAGAAAAGGAATGCTAGGGGCACAGAGGCAGACCCAAGGCACCGCCTCCGCTCATCTCAGAGTATTCACAGCCCTAATGAGAACACGTGGGCTTTCTTCCACAACAGAACACAGAATCACAGTTCCAAATGCATCTGTGGGCCAAGGGGCCAAAGACAGCCAGGATGACCAAGCCCACCCGGAACAGGGGACGGAAGCCTTTCCAGGAGAACTGGGTTTGCCGATGGCTTGTGGAGAAAGCGTGTTGGCGGGATGAGGAATGCACAGGTGGTTGTCAGCAAACTCGGCAAACGTCAGGTGGTCCTGATGCCACCAGAAGCCGGGGTAAGTTCCAGGTGGCGGAGCAGGGTAGAGGCACTTGCTGCACTCCGCGGAAGGGGTGGCTGCGGAGGGAACGGAAGGACCCAGAAAGGCAGTGCTGTAGGCTCACCCGCATCACAGTCATGGCACAGGACCACCTGGTCCCCATGTGTGCCAGGCACTGTGTGGGGCTCTGTACGGGCTCCACGTGCATCTCATTTAATCCTCAGCAGAAGCCTCGAGAAAGGCGTTCTTTCTAACCTCATTGTAATGCTGTGGAAACGGAGCCTTGCGAAGGTTGGGTCACTTTTCTCAGACTCAGGAGTAGGAAGCGATGGACCTGGGGTTCGCATCCAGTTCTTTTCTTCTTTTTTCTTTTTTTTTTTTTTTTTGACAGTCTTGCTCTGTCACCCAGGCTGGAATGCATGGTGCTACCTAGGCTCACTGCAACCTCTGCCTCCCAGGTTCAAGTGATTCAAGTGAGTAGCTGGGATTACAGGTGTGTGCCACCATGCCCGGCTAATTTTTGTATTTTTAGTGGAGACAGGGTTTCACCATGTTGGCCAGGCTGGTCTCAAACACCTGACCTCAGGTGACCTGCCCACCTTGGCCTCCCAAAGTGCTGGGATTACAGGCATGAGCCACTGTGCCCAGCCTCAAACACAGTTCTTCTTATCAACCACTGTGATGAGATCTGCTGTTGGAATAAGGTCACGGGAGCCTGGACAAAGAACAGGGGAGATGGAAATGGACAGCGAATGGCTCGGTGGGAGAGGGGCACAGCTCTGCCAGGGAGACCTGGTGTCCCTCATGGATCCAGAGGCCACACAGGCAAAGGCCAGTCTGAGCCTTGGTGGAGCCTGGAAGGATGGAGGTCTCTAAGCGGCTGCTCTGAGCCCATCTCCTCCTTGCCTCCCTATCTGCCCAGGGTGGCTGTCAGGAGACAGTTTCTCTGGCCTCCGGGTTCTGATAGGGTGAGGTGCGTTCTGTCCCCACCCGTCACACCAGAGCGGCGGAAGGGAAACGTCTTGGCCGCAGTCTGGACGCAGCTCTCGGCAACAGGGCACAGCACAGCTTGGGGCGCAGTCATCGGCTCCTTGGTGTTCGGGAAGAGGACACGGATACCAGGGAGCGGGTCCTTGTGGCTCATTCTCCCTTTCACTGTCTATGTAAATAACAGTCTGATTATGAACGTGGCATGCTGTGTCTTCCCTGGTCCAATCAGTCAGGCCTGGCCTTGGCTTGCTGCATGTGGAGGCTGACAGTGATCAGGCCATGAGGTGGCTGGTGCAGGGCTCGAAGCTGAGAGAAAAGGGAAGGGATGCAGGTGTGACCGTGCTGCCCAGGGGGACCATGGCGGCTGGCAGCGCAGAGTCCCAGGCTCTCCCTAGGGCCCGGCTGTGGACTTGGGCAGGAAGCACGTGACTGGGAACGGTGATGGTTCTGCGCCATCTGCACATACTCTCCAGCCCAGCTCTGCAGCGGAACCTGTCCCAGCACAGGATGGCAGTGCTGTTCAGGTAGAAAGCTGTGGCCCCCGCAGAAGCACCCACAGCAGCAGTGGGCCTCCAAGTGGTTGCTTGCTTTGAAACAAACAAACAAACAAAAAAAACCTTTATATTTTGAAAACAATTGCACATGAATTATTCATGGAAAATTCTTCTTGCTCAGTTCTTTCACAAAACCATATGAAATGGATCGTAAGAAAATGTCTGCAGGCAGATGTTCCCCAGGCTGGAGGGCTGTGAGGCGCCAGGGAGACTCGTACCATCCCCTGAGGTACCGTTTGTACCCCAGCAGCCTGTCCAGCAGTTGCAGGAGCGTAATCCCCAGGGGCGCAGAGCACAGCAGAGAACACAGGCGCTGCGATGCCATTCCCGGAAGAGGCTCCGCGCGGGCCACACATGCGAAGGTCTCTAATGCCCCTGGTGAGGCCCTCCTTGCACCACTCTCATTTCTAAGATGAACAGAGCAGCAGATCAACCAGATGTATCATGACCCTTGGAGGCGACACACAACATGAAGAAAGGCTCACCAGCAATGTTTATAAGACAGATTTAAATGTAAGAGTATTCAAGCCGTTTTCTTTGGTCTTTTCCAGAAGGCATTCCCCTAAGAAAGTTGCTCAAACACTGACAAGCTACAGTCTGGCATTCACCAGAGAGTCATACTCCTGCCATCCCTGGGGCATTCCTGAGATTGTAGACTGACTCTTCCCCAGGAGGCCACAACATTTCTGGGAACTGGTGCTGGGCCCTCTCCATGAAGGAAGATGCCCTGAGAGCATGCCCAATGAGGAAGGTGAGGACTCAGGGTTTTCTAAACGCAGTCCCTGTACAATATCCCTAAGCAGCCACCAGTTTCCATGTGTGGCACCTGTTTGCTATGTCTCTTTGCAGCCCTTCTTCGGTGGTTTCTATGTGATTACACTATGCATTCTCATCTCGTCACAGTCTTTGTATACTTAATATTATGCCACTTCACATAAAATATAGAAACCTTGCAATCTCATAGAGGGCTCCTGCACTCTGTTCTTATGCTGTAGTTGACATCTGTTTCATATCTACCACATGTTATAAATCCCACAAGACAATGCCATGGTTTTTGCTTTGAATATTCCTATGCAGTTTTTAAATGAAGAAAAGTAATAGCCTTCTATATTTAATCAGCTAGTTGCCATTTCACGTGTCTGAGCAGCCAGCGTTCTCTGTTCTGCCATGAACAGCTAAGACTTCTAGTATCAAATTCCTTCATCTGGAAGCCTCCGCTAGGCATTCCTTGCAGTGAGCATCCACCTGTGATGGATTCCTAGCTTTTGTTTTGTTCAATTTGAAATCATCACCTTCATTCCTTAAGAAGACTTTGGCTGGGTATAAAATTCTGGGTTGAGAGGTTTGGTTTTGCTTTTGCTTTTTTCCTTTCCATATGTTACTGTTCCACTATCTTCAAACCTCTTCCATTGTTTCTTTTTTTTTTTTTTTTTGAGACGGAGTTTCGCTCTTGTTACCCAGGCTGGAGTGCAATGGCGCGATCTCGGCTCACTGCAACCTCTGCCTCCTGGGTTCAGGCAATTCTCCTGCCTCAGCCTCCTGAGTAGCTGGGATTACAGGCACGCGCCACCACGGCCAGCTAATTTTTTTTGTATTTTTAGTAGAGACGGGGTTTCACCATGTTGACCGGGATGGTCTCGATCTCTTGACCTCGTGATCCACCCGCCTCAGCCTCCCAAAGTGCTGGGATGACAGGCTGGAGCCACCGCACCCGGCCTCTCTTCCATTGTTTCTAATGCAAAGTCAGTGGTAATTTAAAATGGGGTTGCCCTGTTGGTAATGTCATTTTTCTCAGGCTGCTTTTAAGATTTCTCCATTCGATTTTGCTTTTCAGCAGTGTGCCTATGATTTTCTTTGTAATATCCTACTTGGGGTTTTCTGAGCTTCTTGAGTCTCTCTTAGGGCCTTTCACCAAAACTGAAAATTTTCAAAAATTTCAGCCATTATTTCTTCACATATGCCCTCTTCGTCTCTGTCTTTTTTCCTTTTGTGAGACCTTTTGATATTGTTCATATGACTGTGAGAAACTATTCTCTCTCTTTTAAAAAAATTTTTCTCTCTCCTCTTCAGTTTGTATGAGTATCAATTTATCCTCAAGTTCATTGATTTCTGTCATTTCATTCTGTGGTTAAGCTATCTGGTGAATTTTTTATTTCAGATATCTTATTTTTCAGTTCTAGAATTTCCATATGGTTCTTCT